TCAGTTTAAAGATGTGAAAACATTCCAAGTATTGCAGTCGAACAGAACCACAGAGAGCGAGAATTGTCAAATGTATTATGTCTGTGACTATAAAGATCTTTATTCAAAAAACATGAAAATTGTGCAAGCATTAAGAGTGCAACATGCACACTTTGGCTGCCAAATCTACATTTAGAAAAAAGACACACAGAAGACATTTGAACAGCACTCTTTCCCTGTGGGTGTACAGGCGAACACACCTACACACGCTTTCATTTGTTTCCCAATGAAAGCATCAGGCCACCTGGGCCTTGCATCGAAACTTCATCAATCTCAAGAAATGGAATCCAGTGGAGAGAAAAATCAAATTCTCATTTGCAAGATGGGTAAGGAGAGAGAGAGAGAGAGAGAGAGAGAGCTGGAGGTACCTGGGAAGGCTAACCTCTAGCTGAACCCGCAGCATTGAATCGTTTTGCCATTTGTCTGCCATACTGACAGGCTGCAAAGAAGATTAGACACTCAAGGTTGTGACTTCCTATTCTCCTCATTTCATACCTTGCAAATCCTGAAAGCCTTTCTCTCCTCACCCACAATAACTTTTACTAGAGCTAGACATATTATAGTGAACACAGAGGCAATATTTTCTTAACTAATGAAAGAAAACGCATGATGAATGTAGTGATGCATGCTCTGTTGACTCATCACCGCACAATGAATAGAGCCACTGACAATGATATGACATTAACGGTTGAAAATCTCCTCCGAATGATCAGTTTACTGAACAGGAGGAAAAGTGAGAGTGTGTTTGGGTGAAATTACAAATGAGTGAGAGACAGAGCGTGAGTGAATATCAGCGTTTTCTGCAGCATCGGAGCCTTCAGATAGATCTGAACTTTTGAACCCGAAAGGCAGAAGCAGCGATGCACTAAGGATGCTCTGGTCTAATATGAGTCTATTTCAATTAATTAATGCAAAGGGAAACAGAGGGTGGGAAAATGACAGCGTGTAGGAAAGATGGTGTCATCTTTGCTGAAGTCATTTACCGTGCCCTGTGAAGCCTGCCAATGCATCGTATTTGACTATTTCTAAGTGCATCCAAACATTAATCATGATTAGAAAAAGATGGCTTTAAAAAAAAACAAAAATGATACTTCTCTTCAAGCCAGGGAAACTTTGTTTTATTTACACTGTTTCTATAGCAACTGGGGTCAATAATGTAGACTCAGTTGCCCTAGACAGAGTTCAGACAGGTCACGGAATGACCAGAACAAGACCCAGGGGTCAAAAGTTTACTGTAGGGAGGAAGAAACACTCAAAGTGTGAGCACTCACTGCAAATTGTATAGAGTTAAGAGGTTATGTGGACGAATACCAGCTGACGATGACTCAAAAGTGAGGTCACGTGAGGTGCTTTTGATTGCATGACTCCACATGCCACTGCATTAAGACAGATCAGGCTGCAGAACTAAAATTATTGACAGTAAATGTGATGATGACAAAAACAGGATTTGCATGTTGGCCACTTTACTTTGCAAGGGGTCGCTTAATTGCCAGGCTAAAATGTCTTTTTCATTGATGCATGCTCTTTTTGGACTCTCCAGAGATTCATTACTACAATCAATTTTCTAGCCAACACATCCATTAATTTAGAGGCTCTAAGATCTTGAAGAAAAAAAATCAAATTTACATCTCGATGATCTAATTTGCGATAAAGAAACAACTTAACTCTGAATCCTTTTCCCCTCACTGATTGGCTTTTCCAGCTTTGCCTGTAGAGCTGTGGTGGGGTAAGATAACAGAAACGAGAGGGGCTTTTGTTTCTGGACATAAATCAAGTCAGTGCACACAAAGAGCCCAGAGCATGTGCAGCCTTTGATAGGACATGCATTGATATTAGCCTCTTAAACACACAAGCTCCAGTCACACTAACAAACCATACACCTTCTCTGGAATATTTTTATTACTGAAACAATAACTGTAACTGACGTGTGTATGCGTTATAAAATTATCCTTTTTTATTTAGTTTTTTTAGTTATCAGATATTTTCAACCAGGCCATTCCAAGTGATAAGAGCATTTCTTCTCTTACTTTTGCATTTCCTAAACTTGACCTGGCAACATTTCCACCCCACTGTGAAGCTCCTCCTGCCCTGGGCTTCCCATCCTAGGCTGCAGGGCTGCTGTCATCCAGACGAGGCTGCAGGCACGGAGGGGTCAACCGTGCGGTCTGCGGGTGAAACTCAGTTCACATTACCATACAGACAGGGGCCCTGACAATAGAGCGCCCATCTGTTCCTGTCAGCTATAACAAATCTAGTGTCAAACCTCCCTCTGGAGACAGGGAGGCAGCGCTGGCTAAATGAAATAACACTGACTCCACCCATCGACAAGTCAACTGCTACCTCGTCCTCCAGTCAGGTTAGAGCACAAGCAAGACACAGTCAATTTCCCCTTCCTCACACAGGCAGGCATGTGACATCACGAAGCGAGTAACGGTGCAGGAATTGAATGCTTGAACTATATTTACCCTCCACTACAATAGGGTAAATTTGAAAATATCAGCATGCAAGGATACCAGCTCATTCACATTACATATACATTTGAGCCAAGCAACAAAAAAAGCTCTCAGCGTGAAGCGCCATTATTGAATAAAGGCAAATGAGAAAACAGACCAAATCTGAAGTTGCTGAAAAAGGTGCACATTCAAACCTTAATCTTCATGATTATATTCCTGTCTCTAATTTTATATGCTGTGAGATGCTCAAATGTCCTCCTGTAGGGCTTGATGTGAGATTTCCAACTGGTGAACTAAACATGAACCCTGAACTGCACTTGCCCTTGCTGGTCATTATCTTTATTGAAAGAGCGACATGATGCGAATCTTCTTCAAGTTACTCCTCTTTGACTTATATGCCGTTTCTAGCAAAGAAGCGAATCAAAGGAGCACATCCAGGATTGACCCCTTTTTTGCTAAATTGCAAACAACATATAAAATAAATGGGATGATGGAGAATTCATTTTCACCAGGGTGGTGAAGTTTCAAGTCAGTGAACAAGAAGATGTATGCATGACAAAAACAATGACTTATGCTTTTGTGTGAGTAGCCTGACATTTATATCTTGGTTAATATGTTTTTTTAAGAATATTTTAATATTAAAATAGATATAGACAAATTCTGACTATATCCTCTTTTTTTATCAGATTACAACATCTTAGAGCTGGTTACTAAAAATTAGGGCTGCAAGATATTGGAAAAATTTGACATTGTCATAGTTGTCTCTCTGCGATATACAGTTGAAGTCAGAATTATTAGCGCCCCTGAATTATTAGCCCACTGTTTATTTTTTCCCCAATTTCTGTTTAACGGAGTGAAGATTTTTTCAACTAATTTCTAAACATAATAATTTTAACAACCCATTCCTAATAACCATTTTATTTTATCTTTGTCATGATGACTGTACATAATATTTTACTAGATGTTTTTCAAGATACTTCTATACAGCTTAAAGTGACATTTGAAGGCCTAACTATAGTTTGTACTGTAGATAACAGAACAAAAATATATCTTAAAGGGGCTAATAATTTTGACCTAAAAATGTATGTTTAAAATTACAATCTGCTTTTATTCTAGCCGAACTAAAACAAATAAGACTTTCTCCAAAAGAAAAAATATTATCAGACATGCTGTGAAAATTACCTTGCTCTGTTAAACATCATTTGAGAATTTTTTAAAAAAAGAAAAAAAATTCTAAGAATTCTGACCTTAACTGTATATTATTCACAGAAGCACAAATTCACCAGATGACTTTAATAGCTCTATTTGCAAAGTGATTAATTTAGATTGATTGGGATGATTTTGTACGTGAGTAAAATATAAATTTATCTCATGTACTTCTTTATATACATTACGATAAACAAACTACAGTCATAAATAAACACATTCAAGTAAATGTTAAAGTGACATAAATAGTGCTTCATGGTTTTCCGGTAAGAGTACCATTCAGGTACTAAAATTGAATAATAATAATGCACTATTTAAAGTCTCTTCAATGTCCTAGGCCTTAAAATAAGAAGCAGATGATAAACTTTGACTCTATTATGGTTAAATTCTGCAGTGCTTCCACAAATCTTACATGTTTTGACCTGTGCTTTCTAGTTAATTATAATCCCAACCTTAACACTGCATATCTTGCGATGTGACTATTGCGGAAACACAAGTTCTGATATCGATGCTCAAACGATAAATTGTGCCTACTAGCAATCAATGCTATTGAACCAGTCCTTTTCTTAAAATTATTTTCTGCAAAGCTGCAGGGTTTTGATTCCTCTGAGAAAATTGTCAGTTGTATGATGAGTGATAAAGAAGAGAAAATGGATAAAATGCCCCTTAGGTACAGGGTTGAGTTTCAAGACCAGCTGGTTAGAGAGGAGTCGGGGATGATCAGTCACAGTTCTGGCCTGAAGCAAACTGCAAACTGCCCACGTCAGTAAAAAAAACAATCAGCTAACACAAAACACAGATTCTGACATGCTGTTTTCAATCTGTAGCATCTTGTTTTCAAACTCTCTTCACACTTTGAATTTTATTCTAGCTCGTTTTAGGGTCTACACAAGTGTAAATTTACTTTGCATCTAAAGGGGAAGTAAGCTAACATTTCCACGCCATTGTTAAACACAGGCAAACATGCCACAGCTTAACCCCAAGAACCCATGCTGAAACATCATGCTTGCCTGCCACTAGAGAGAGCTCTTCATCCCCTTTGTATGGAGGTAAAAGACCACCCTCCAATTCCCACTTCAAACACTCCTCAATGCCAGCAGCAGAGTTGTGGGAATCCACTAGAGGGTGATCTGTTACCAAACACCTCCACTGGGGCATTTCATCATTACCAGTGAAACCCCCACAACAAGTAATGTGCTAAAGATGCTTTAGACAAGTTTCCTGTCTTGGCTTATCACAGCTAACATGCATTAGAAATATGAGTAAACACACTCATATGCAGACAGAGTAGCTACAACTCACGCTCAGAGCCTCCTTCCTCCTGGTAGTCAGAGGCCACTGACATATCATCTGAGGGGGCAGAGCGTCCCAGACTGGAGCTGCGGTTGTCATCTGAACTGTCTTCAGGATTGGACTCAACTAGGGGAAAAAAATAAATAAATACAATAAAATTTACAAAAGTGCAAAACTTTGTTGAGTGGATTCAAGAGACTGTGGGAGGAAAATCATTTTTGTGAAACCAACAAGTTTTCTAAAGAACCATTGTTCAGGGAAAGACTGAACGGAAATCTCGCAGAGTAATTAATTAGAATTATGAAACAGCTGTTCACTTACGTCTGTGGGGAAATTCTTGTGGGTGTCTGCAAAAGAGGATAGCGAAGTGTGTTTAGAAATGAAAGTTTATAAAACGACTTTATAAACAAATAAACCTGTTAATAAAATAATGGTTAACTTTGCAATGTACTATATTTTTTAGTAAGGATCAGTGGTGGAATAGTACTAAAAATTATACTCAAGCAAAAGTATCAGTATACTTGCCTAAAAATGTAGTGCAAGTAGAGTAAAGGTATCTGTTGTAAAAAGTTACTCAAAGTATGCGTAAAAAGTAGACCTTTCAAAAGTACTCAAGAGTAGTGAGCATTACACTGTGAAAAGTTGATGCATTTACATGTAATTTGTGGATGTGTGTAAACGCAACATTCTGTAGTGCATTTAGTTATTTCCCAGCAGGCACACAACAGCGTCTAATGACAATGTTATTTATATGTCTAATAACAACGTCAAATGACATTGATATTTGGTTGATTTTAGGTTGTGTTTGAAAGTGACCAAAATCCAATGTCGAGCAAACATCTTAAACCACGTCATATTCAGGTCAAATACTGACATTTATTCATCAGGTATGGCAACCAAAATCCAAAATCTGATATCTGTCACAGTGGTAACGTCCACACAACTTCAAGCTGTAACATTATTATATTTACATCGTTGATTTTAGGTTGGGCGTTGGACATTGACTTTGGCCTGATATTGAGTTCTGACGTCAAACCGATTTTCATTTGCAACCAAATGCAACGTCCCCATGATGTTGGGGTACAACTTCAATTTCATGTCATGTTGACATCTTGTGTCTGCTGAGTGTTTAAGGCCATTTTGGTCATCATACAGTAAACATCCGTCATCTTCTCATCAGTGACATGCATCTAAACAGGCTTTGGGTCAATGCGTGTAAAGATTTTGGACGTCTTCTTGGACACTTTTAATGCTTCCAAACAGTTTGCTGCAATTATAAATCGCCCATGTCTTGAGGTAGTTCATTATGATGTGATTTACCTTTTATGTGTGATTTGATTTGACAGGAATTACAGGACTGAATTTTCTAATTCCCATAGACAAGAAATAATAAAGTAGTGACCACAGGTTGAAGGAAAGTAGGAGTAAAAGTACAAATACTGCACTAAAAATGTAATCAGGGGAAAGTTAAAAGTACACATTTTTAAAACTACTTATTAAATTACAATACCTAAGAAAAACTACTCAGTTACAGTAATTTGAGTATTTGTAATGTGTTACTTTACACCACTGGTAAGGATAAATATTTCAGGTCTGCAATTGAAAGTCATTCTACAAATTCTAAAGCAATCGAAGAGGTGTTTGAAGGAAAGAAGGATGAGTTTCTGCATAAACACGTGCATGTGTTGCATGTGTAAAACTGTGCAGTGCACTTGCAAATGATGCACTGAGAGCTAAGTAATCATGCAACCTCGTGCTAAAAAGAAAAAAAGTATGCTTGTTCTCCTTGCAAACACCTTGTTTCAGAGCAGCAAACCACAAAACCACTACAGCGTGTAAAAGCGATGTAATTGTACTCCGTGCTTCTAAAAAGACAACAATAGAGGAACTGTGCAATTTGCTTCCTGTCTGTTTAACTTTTGTAAATCATTTGTAACTCGACTGGGAGCAGAGAATGCCAAGAGGTAAACAATTTGATTCTATCAATGTACTTTTTGTAGTCCACACTGTGAAGTTACAAACAAGTAGGAGCAAGAATGTTTTAATACTTGAACATGAATAAAACATACTGTGACATCCCTTACCTTTTCTGGACGACAACAAAATTTCTTTGGAGAATTTCCCTAGACTCTCGAGCTGCAATACTGAGATTCTCATCATGGAGGATCTCAAAAACAAACAGCTCACAGTCTGAAAATAAAAATAAAAATAAAAAACAACGCAAGTAAACTTTTTGTTGTACTTTAAAATGTGGCAGACAAATTGCGACGGTTATCCCACATGGTATTTCAGTGTTCAATAGGGTATACATGATTTGAGCTATGCAAATAATCCCAGATTTCCCTGTATTAATGCAAATGTTGTAAATGTCAAAATGTGTAGATGACAATAGCCACCCTGTCTGTGTCAGAACAAAGATAACAATGTCACAAAAGCATTGTTAATGAAGTATCATTTTGTATAAAATGTATGCATCTGCAGTTAAACTGCAAAGCAAAACAGTTACAAGAATAGGCCAAAACCAATAAACTCATAAAATAGTCTGTAGGCCTACTCTTGGTTCAACAACATAACGCTGAAGTTTACAACAATTTGGCAAAGTAACTATTTACACTAGAATGTACCAACTACGTGTGCTCGGAAGTGCTATGAAAATAAGTATTTACAATATAGCAATTACTGTCACACGCTTTTTTCAAATAGGTTACACTTTTCAAATACCAAAAGTTCTAAATAAAAACAAATTATAACTACAAATATATAGGCTATGAAATATGTATTTATTTTGAAGTAATAAAAACTCAAATAAAATAAATTAACAGTGAAACAGTGAAGAATACCTCTTAACAGTTGTCTGATGTCATCAACAGCCGTCCCCATGTCTAACTCCCTGAGTCCAACAGAAATGAATGTTTGTAGAATTTTACGATGTCAACGACTGAAGGTCATATCATTGCTGAATGAATTTGTTGGTCAATTGTCATCCTACAGCAGGAGTTCGTAGAGTGAAATCGAAGAGAAATCCACACACACACGAACCGGCTCGCGGAGGGAAGATGAAGAGGAAGTGCACAGCACATTGTTGTGAAAATGAAACAAGTCTAAAGAGATGCAGGTAAATCATTCTGTTATCCACTCCACTGACTTGAATGTGTGTCAAATGAATTTCAAATTATTCCAAGTGGATTTTCCACAGCCACAACATTTAGTCAAATTTATAGACCATCCACCCAGTTTTCAACCAGTTCAAAACGATTTTAACGCTTTAAGCGTTTTCTGTTGGGCCGTTTTTTTCCGTTCATCAACAGGCCGAGCTGAAAACTCACTGCACCGTGTTTTTAATCTTATTGTTTGCGCCAAACACTATCAAATGTCTATCGACCATGAAACACCATCAGCGCTTTAGTGTAAGTACTGCTTCCTTTACTTTGAGAGATTAAAAATGTTTATAGAAAGTGTATAACTGTTAGGCGAGTTTGTGTAAAATAAACTTCCGTTGCTTGTCAGGTAACGTTAGGCTATTAGCCTACCCATTATGCTAATGTTTTATGCTACCTTTTTGTGCTAAAGCACACTATTTATAAAATGGAGGCCATTTTAGCGCAACTGTAGCAGACATACATACCGTCTTTATGTGTATATAAAGGTGTTTAAGTTTTCTACCACTCACCTTGAAATCAATAAATTGGTGTGAAAATGCTGTTGTCACAAATATAACGTTAACGTTACCCGTTACCGATGCCGTGTGACACTGACGGCTAATGTTATATGATATTTATGATAGCTATTATCTTAAATTTATTTTGATAATTATAGCCTATAGGCCTCTGTATTGTAAGAAAAATAACCACAGTGTCACAAGAAAATAAACTACAAATTAGAGGACATGTTTTCAAATTTAAACTATAAATAATCTGGTTTTGATTGAACCGATATTATTTATTTATTTAAAATCACAAACATATTTCTTTATGTAATAGGATAGGACATAATGAACAAGATGTACCCCTTTAGCGCAGTTCTTTTTGGTTAACTATGCAACACTCCTGGTCTGCCCTATAGACTCAGTTCAATGGCTCCTGTTCCTGCGGTATAGTCTCCTTGATTCATTTGCATCATATCACAAAAGCTCTTGCTTACCTTTCACAATTGTTTGCAAAATTCTGATTCAGCAGTTTGAGCTGAGCGAGCACTTAATGCATGTGAAAGACTGAGGACTACATCACATTGGGGCGGCACAACCTCAGTCTTCTGGTTTCAGAGTTATTACATTAATAACTGAATTTAATCAAAGCAAGGACAATTTATTTTGATTATGTTCAAGGTACTATATACATATACGTGTGTGGGTGAGTGTACTTGTGTGTGTAAGAATTTGAAAAAAAGTCGTTTCAAAAAGGTATAGTGAAACAATAATAACGCCAGAGGGGCTTTTATGATTAATATTATTTTTACTACACATGGGATAAAATCCCCCCACTCTTCCAACCTGGGGCAAAAAAAGCCCCTGGGGAAGGTATAGAATCATGTGTCAACATAATATTAAGTAACATTAGATACATATTTGATCAAGTTAGGTTGTTCAGACACTCCAGAACAGTGTAAAAAAAATAAGTGCCGGTGTATTGTAATCTTATCAATATATTGTGACAATTCTTTTTTTTTTTTTTTTTTTTACATTTTAGCATTTGACATACCTTTGTAATATTTTGTTTACAATATTGTATACTTGCAGTACAATGAGCACGATTGAGTTGCATTATAAGCATGTACAAATTAATCTCTTACGTGCAACTTTGCACATCTGTTTCCCTGTGGTTTCAGGGTTTGGGTTGTGATAAAATTATATTTGGTTGCAGTTTTGGTTCCACTGATACTCATTATTGTCATTATTGTTTTGCCTTAACAACTCTGTAAGTATTATTCTGATGAAATTAAATTCCACCTGTATTATTTTGCTGATATCTAACAGGTTTTAAAAAAGTATAATCCACTGAGATCTTTATTACATAAGCTAAAATAAGGCTTTGCTTGCAGAGCAAATGTAATAGAAGGCTAGATTTGAAATGAGGTTTGTTTTTTTGTGTTGAGGACATTGCCACAATGGTAGTGTGTTGTGGGTTGTTTCCTGACTGTTGCTCTGTGGTTTTGGTGGCATTGCTTTTTAAATACATATATTCTCACCTTTTCTATTTCTCATAACTGTAATTAAAATAATGCTTATAGGAGTATGTATTACAAGAAAATAAAATTTCCGTCTAGGGCTGGGCTGATAAACAATATTATATTGAATTGACTATAGTCAATATATTGATTTTTTACTCTGTATTAATCTAAGAGCCAATCACACAGCAGAAATGTGCAACAATAAGAATCTAAAAGTGTGTTGAAATTAGAGATGAACTGAATTTTCGACCACTGAAATTTTATCAGACAAATTTTTGTTAAGCCATTTAATGGACCGTCTGATATTTGAGACTTCAGTCATTGTTGGGGTACTCTTTTAAATCTGGAAGCGTTAACAATATATATATATGTGTGTGTGAGAGAGAAAGGTGCATTACAAAAAATATATATTATTATTTTTATTTTTATTATTATTATTATTATTATAATTATATCATTATCGGTTGAGAGCCATATTGCCCAGCCCTATTTAAGTGTTTTTATTTTACTTTGTTACTTGCTGTTTTAAAATTGTGTGATTTTTTTTCTAGTAATTCCTGTCTCAAAAATTGTTTCAAAATAAATCCTGCACCATTTTTGTCCATGGGATTTTCTGACACATTTTATAATCTGCTTTTCTGAACAAACTGTAAATGATGATTGTCTATGCAGAAGCCCAAAAGATTTTGTGTTTCATGTGGTGTTGCTTGGTGTTTGTTTACCAGCCATTTCAAAAAAAGCCCCCTCCCAAGTCTCTATAATAGAGATTCTCTCACTTTAAAAAAACTTTTAAAAGAAATTGTTGCATTATATTAGTCTTTCGAAATTTAATATGTTTTTTTGGCATTATCAATTACCTGCTATTTCATAGAGAAAGACAGAAGAGTTTGTTAATGGCAATTTCTTTGTAATTGATTGTGAAATTTAATAGTTGAATAGTTTATTGTACATTAAATCATATACGATTGACATCATTTGTCCAGAGTAGTTTCTTTATGGCATATATCACATTCATCACTGGAGTATATTTTATTAAAAATGAGTCTTCAAAAGTTTTTGTTCAATTCAATGCAATATTTTGTAAATATTTATAAAATGTACTTTTTAAATTGTAAATAAAATCTAGTACTTCTAAATATATATATGTAAACCCTACACATATTTGTTTTTCCCATGCAGTATTAAATACATCTTCATAAGGTTGCACAATATGTCATTTCAGCATTGATATCACAATGTGTGTGTCAGCAATATTCACATCGCAGGATATGCAATATTAAGTTGTATTTATAGTTGATAAACAGTTGAAAATACATAAGATTTGCGCAAAGTATAACCATAACAGAGTGAAACTGTTGAATTTACACAAATTAAATTTAGGAATGTTAAAATTATTTTTAAGTGGTTGTAAACAATTTAATGGGGCTGCGTTTAAACAAATTTAGTAAATCCAGGGAACGATCTTTTAATTAAATGTATTTAACTTGTTTCTTTGCTCTAACTATTCTTGCTTGCAATTTGTTTATTTTTATACATGATTCACACCCTTATAAAATCAACCCAATCAATCTGAATTATTTTTTTTCTCATTAAATAGAGCTATTCAAGCTATCTGGTCAAATTGTATTCATATCTCAATCTACATCACAGGACAACAAAATATTACAATGTCAGATTTTTCCAATATCGTGCTGCTCTTCATCGTCATTATGTTTTTATTATTTATCAAGACATTTAATCAGAGTTCAGTTAAAAACCTAGTCAAATTCTTTAGAAAAATATAATTTGACTACAACTGCAAGCAAGCACAAATGTGGCTTAAATTATATGCCTAATATTTTGAGTTTTATTTAATAGTATTTGGTTTTTCAACCTCACTAAACTTTAGAGAAAAAAAAATCAGACCAAGCATTTACCCAAACAACATTTGGTGTAGAAAAAAATGCTAATAAATTTCACAAATAATTACACGAAAAGGTCAAAAAAACTGAAAAGGTATTTTCCAACACAATCTCACAGCAATTCGTAACTTTTTCATTTAGTGGCTAATTCGTATGAATTCGTACGATCTAATTTGTACAATTTAGTACGATTTGCTTATATCCCAATGACGGTTGGGGTTAGGTGCCATGCCTCCTTTTAAAATCGTACCATTTCGTATGACTGAACTCATACAAATTCCTACGAATTAGCCACTAAACTGGCAAAACGTAAAATATTTAAGTTTTCTCGTGAGATCAGGCTGTATTTTCTTGTAAAACATACTCCAATAATATTTGTGGAGTCTACAGCTTTAATGGAGGCATCTTGTTCTGTGGATTCGCCAGTTAGAGTAAGGTGTTGCACACAGGTACAGGGTGGAGGACGATCATGAAAGAAAAACATGTGAATGGAAAAGGGGGAGCAGAATTCCACTGAGAGGACATGACCGAATGACCCCTGCGTCACTGTCCCTGCAGCTATATGGCCCCTTGTGAAGGCAGATAGAGGAATGAGCGTGGCCCTCCACTTCAGCATGCGCACTGCCTCCTGCCTGCTGGGCACAGCCATATGAAAGGATCTTGCCTTTGTAATCCGCCCGGGATTACACCTCCCAACAATGCACAGCTGAAAGGGCTACAAAGACCCAGTATCAAACACAAGCCCGGGCTGATGAGAGGAACCTGCTATGATCTCCTACCACCAACACTGCCATCAGCGCCTCTCATCTCCCCAAGAGAGCTCTTTTAGCATTCACCCGCTCCTTTCTTCTGTCCCCTTATCTGGAAACACAGGCTTTTTTATCTCTGCATTCCTTTTCATTTGCGTTTCACTTGGGGGAGGGGCAGAACTCTGTCATCTGAGAGCCCCCCCCTTCGCCTCATCCCATACTCAACCACCCCGACCTGACAGAAATCACACTCCAATCTGGTCACACACACACCCCTTCAGAGACCTGGGGTCAATATATGAAGGCATTGGAAGCCATCTTTTTTTGTTATGAGAGTCAATTGCTATCAATCGGCTTATGTAATGCACTTCTTGTTAAATGGTATGATAACATTTTGGCTCGTGGGCTCAATTCTGTCTATGGTTTGACCCTTTGAACTCTGTGGAGCTCTTTGCTCCTAATTAACCTCTGCACACATGCAAGAGACACTTCAGGCACTTAGGAGATGTTTGTGTTGGTGGTTTAGGACCTGTGTGGTAAATATTTCTGAAGAAGATGTGGGGAAAGTATGGTAGTTTATCAAAAAGGATTTGCAAGGTATCAGTGGATAAATATCAATCATGGTGAACTTAGAAGAGCGGTTTTCACTTCAGCTCTGAATTCAGTTAACCGATGTACCATATAAAGATTGCTACTGTTGTAGTCAATAGCATTGGGGAATTATATGCTGAAAAATGTTGTATTATAAATGAGAATTAATTTATTGACTTATGCCAATGCTTTAAAGGATTGTTGGAAAAAATTTTTTATCGTTATCTGGTTGCAAACATGCATGAATTTATTTATTGTCATGGAATTTTTATTCTTGCAAAAAGCATTTTACATTTTACAACAATCCACACACCATATACAATCCTATCTAGCCCCAACAAAACAATACCCAAATAAAACAATCAGCATCTGACATTTAAAAAAATTATAATAATAAAATAAATAATAATAATAATAATTAAAATATATACAAATACAGAAAAAAATGAATATAACCAAGCTATATACATACATATACCTTCACTCAGTCCACATCTAAGGTTTTTTTAATCATTAAAGACAAATTGTTACGCAATAAATTGTTGACATTTTTTAAAAACTGCTTCCTTTACCTTTGATATTGTATTCAATTTTCTCAAGTTTTAAAAAGAAGAGCAAACCTTTAAGCCACAATGAAATAAAGGGGGGTTGTGTGGAGGTCCAAGACAACAGTATTATGTGCATATAGCGAGAAGAGATGCAAAAGCCACAATGTCAGCATACCTCCGGTTTAAGGAATTTATTTATTTAAGTGGAACATTGTAATACAGTAGTAGTAATTTTTGTTGCAATGAATGAGTTTATTTCTTTCTTGCACAAATAAATAAAGTAATACAGGACTGAAAGAGTACAAAAATAAAAATATAATTTTCAGTTTTATTATTCTCATGATTTTCCAGACCTGTATGCACATTATGGATGTGACATTTGCATTTGACATTGCAAAAACTCAAAACAAAAACTTGCATAGACAGTAGACTTTAACATTATATTGAAACTTTTGTTTATATTTTCCAGAACAACTGACCACAGAGTTAAGGTACCAGAAAAATATCAAGCTGTTTTGTATTTTAAATGTGGAAAATAAACTTGCATTATGGATGTGACACAAAAAGTCTGCAGGTTTACAGTACACAACATACTTTGTAGAAAATCTGTGAATTAAACTGTACAACCCAAAAGAAGCAATGATAATCAAAAGGATAAGAGTCGGCTCTCTATAAAACAAAAATTATTGGTTTTATTTTATTTAATATTTTCACATTCATAAGGAAACATTGTCATTATGGGTGTGACATGTCTCCGTTATGGATGTGACGGATGTGAAATTGCCACTTTCTGACTTTTTAAAATCAAATAGATTAGTTTGAAAGCATTGACAGATGCATTTTTGAGTATTTCTACTGTAAAATACTTGATTACCCAAAAAACCCAAAAACGGTTTCCGTATTTTGGTGAAAACTTAATTTTTTTCATGGCAAGGTTGACATTTGCACAGAATTCCTCATATCTAATTATTTAGCTCATCTAGCTGGCGACATGGTGCAGTGGGTAGCACTGGGTCGCTGGTTTGAGCCCTGACTGGATCAGTTGGCATTTCTTTGTGGAGTTTGTATGTTCTCCTTGTGTTGGCGTGGGTTTTCTCCAGGTCTTTTGCTTTTGCAATTTCAGTTTTTCAATGTTGATGTTCAATAAATAATCATAGATGATAGTAGAGTGTTTCTTTCAATTAGTTTAAAATCAAGTAATGCACCCCTCATTCAGAGATCTTTCGATATGTGAGCGTATTTACTGTACAAAACCTGTCAGTGAATAATGAGGGCAAAAAATTTAAATAAATAAAATAATTGTTCATTTATTTTAATCAAGTTTAAATGTTCAACTAATTGAGATTTTGAATTTATGCCGAATCACCCAGCCCTAAATCAAAGTGGCGGTATGGTGGCTTTGTGGTTAGCACTGGCGGCGCCTCACAGTAACAAGGTCACTGATTTGAGACCCGGCCGGGCCAGTTGGCGTTTCTGTGGAGTTTGCATGTTCTCCCCTTGTTGATGTGGATTTTCTCTGGGTGCTCCGGTTTCCCCCACAGTCCAAAGAGATGCACTATGAGTGAATTGAATAAGCTAAATTGTCTGTAGTGTGTGTGAGTGAGTGTCTATGGATGTTTCCCAGTTCTGGGTTGCAGCTGGAAGGGCATCCGCGGTGTAAAAAATATACTGAACAAATACTGGTGGTTGTTTCTGGTGTGGCGACCCCTGATGAATAAAGGGAATAGGCTGAAAAGAAAATGAATGAATCTATTTAGCTAATTTCACTTAATTACATAATTGTCTGTAAAATATAAATATATCTGAGAGATTTAATTGTAGACTTAAAAAAAAAATCATTATAAAGTAATATCTTGTTAATTTCATTTGTGTATTTAATCTACTCTGATATTGTATCTTCAGCTTCTTCATGCCGTAGCTTATATTCTGCTTGTTGGAACATAAAGCCTGTGGGATTCAGAAGTGGGCGGTTGGTTGTATCAGTATCCACTAATAATCAACCTTCAGCGCCTTCCAAAAGAGAGCAGGGAGGCAGTCCATGAGATCAACGATCTGTCACTGATAAAATGAACTGTCAGCTTTCATTTGTCTCCCTCTGGCGCGCACTACTCGCCTCTCTAAATCATATCAATGACAGCACCGGTTACACTTTGCCAAGCTTTAAGATCCCTTACAAACAAAACCACATGCAGGAAATTTGTCAATTCAATTATGCCAAAAACTCGAGTGCTATAGTTTTGAGACTAACTGGCAATCTCCCAATTCCCTCGTTCTGAGCAGGTGCAATAACTTTACTTCTGTTTCTCTCATAATTTATTTTTATATATTTTTAAATCTTGCACATGCTTGTTTTTACGCTGTTACGCTGTCTAAGCCAATGTGTGCTGGTTGCTCACTGGCAGAAATCCAGCCTGAGAGTTACAGGGTCTTGGAAGCATGTCTTTCTCAGTTACTCAGCTAATAAGGCAGTGAACTGATTAAATCGGCTCATGGGGATGTGGATTGTGGCAAGCCATTTTAGCATTTAATTTATAAACTGCTAGTATCTATTTTTATATCAGTGCCAATTTTGAAAAAGTACCTATTTCCATTACTAGTGCCTCATTAATGCTTAATCTTTAGTATGTTACTAGCAATATTTAATATGATATTAGTCACTTTTGCAATAATTACTAGTTTGTAATTAATAATGATATCCAAAACAATAATTAAAAAGTCCCTATTATGAATTATTAAACATCATATTTTGGTTTTGGGAGTCTGAAACAACAGGCTGATATGCATGCAAGGTCAAAAAGTACTTTCATTGTCTTATAATATACATTTATTTTTACCTAATTATCCCAACAACTCCCATATAAGTTGTTCAGCGATTCATTTGTTCCCAAACCCCTCCTTTGCGTGAGACTAATCTGCTGTGAATGGTCCGATGACCCAGTCTGTTGTGATCGGTTAATCCACACAGTGGCAAAAGTTATTTCATTTTATTTACTATTTTGAAAATTGACGCGCCGCGTGTGTGTAGGAACAGCTGATGTTGGCCAGAACAAAGATAAACTTCAGAGTATCGCGAGTTCAGAAATGCATTTAAATCAGTACAGGAAGAAGTACTGATAATAGATAAGTGATTACAAGCCATATGGAGCGATTACAAGTTATAACACACAATTTAATACATATTTTGCAAACTACACAAAACGAGGCAACAATTTTAATTACACTTGCATGTTATGATCCGGAGGAAGAAGAAACTGGTCCATATGAAATGTAACAGTTACTGAAAACGTCCCTGTCAAAGTCTAACAAAGTCCTATACATAAATAGTCTCTCCTGCTCTTTCCTTTAATAGCAAACGACTGACGAATCCCGCATTGCAGTACAGGTTATTAAAAAACTGAAAATTGACAGGAACAAACACAGCACAAAGTTGGCTATACTGTGGTGTTGTTGTGAATTTGAACTTTAACCTTTTATTCCCTGCAGCCGAACCTCCATCTGTCAGTTATCGTCATCTTCAGGCCATGATCAGTTCCATGATACCCCACACTCCGCTAATGTCTAAAGGAAAAGGTGCGTTCACATTTTAATATTTTACAAATATGGTGATGTACTGTATCAACTTTGACGAATTAAAGATCCGAACCCAACACAATTCATTTATTCGACTCTAAGTCGACTGTTTTGTTAAAGAATCAATAGTTTAAAACACGGTGCACTTTCAGATTTAAACCTCAGCTGGATGTTTTCATTCACTTAGTGCTGTTACACAGTGCATGAAAGGTCATTAAAAAAAAAAACATAATAGGGGCTCTTTAATTATTTTCCAGTCACAATTAAAATGCGTGTTAGTCGATACTGAATAGTTGATGTCAGTGACAGATCTCCATAATATTTATTGGCAAAAATGTTAAAATTGTTGCCAATAACAATAGGATATTTAACAGCCATTAAAGTATAGTATCTAATATCTAATAAATTAGTACAATCAAATGAATAGCTACATTTTTTTATTAGGCATGGGACGATAATCGTTTTCAAGAAATACCGCGGTTTGTAAAAGTCAAGGTTTTAAAACCGCCAAAATGTTCTGTAATACCGTTCCCAAGGTATGTGTAAGATTTTTTATTTACATTTTTTATTTGTTTTTTTGGATAACAGAATCACAAGCAGAAAAAGATCTCCAAAGATGCTGTTTTAAATTTCGGTTGGGATACTATTTTTTTCTTTTCAAATATGCCCTTTGACATTCTGAAATGATTGAGTTGCAAGGGTGTTCATCATAAAATCTGAATTTAGTCTTCTGCAATTGCTAGCTGTTCTGCTGATATTTATATCTTGCCCAATCATTATTAATTGCAATCCTGTCTCCATTATAGTTCCCTTGTTTTATATTTACTGTTCATTACTTGGTTACCAGTATCACCTTCAGCCACTCAAACATGATGGAAATGCATCCTAATTCACATTTGAAAATGAAAAAAGTTCTCTTAAGCTTTACCCTCATGTTAGAATGGAAACATGACTAATATGTTCTACTTTGTAATATCTAAACCTTAATGAACAATATATATAAAAATATAATTGTTGCATGAAATATATTTAATAGATTTAAGTTGATGATTGCTTGCCATACATAGATATGACTGAGTGTGAGGGGGATGGTTAAACGGCTCTGCTCTTCCTGTTTTCAGCTAGAGGAGGAGGCCCATCTGCATGTGGCCACTGTCTCAGCTGTTGACTGTATGTCTGTGAAAGACAAGAAGACATATAAAATGACCCCCTGACCCCATGAATAGTGTATACGGAACTCTTTTTATCTCTGACATGCTTCAGAGGGACTTGAACAAGACTCAGGAAGTCAAGCTAGGCATTTGATTTGTAAAAGACCCTGTGACAAGCACACCCAGCAGGGAGAGTTTATACATCGCAAGCCTCAGATCTACCCAAAACATCACCTTTAAAAAGTGACCTGACAGCAAAGGGCGGTGTACTTGTCAATATGATTTTTGCTTAGTTTTTATACAGTGTTTTTTTATTTATGTGATGGCAATAAATTCCATTAGAAATAATTCTAATATGTTGAATTGACGCTCAAGAAGCATTTCCTATTATTATCAAGATTGAATTTTTTTTTATTATTATTTTGCTGGCAGAAGGAGATTCAAATGCAAACATCTCAATCATATCCATATAATTGAGTAAATTTCCTTAAAATAAACGTGAAGGCATTTTTCCTCAATATTTTTTGGCTTAATTGCTTTATGAAATTAAGCTTAATAATTGCACTAGTTTGCTTAAAAAAGTTATATTTAAATCTTAGTTATTTTGCGAAATCTTATCAATATTTTATATTAAATCCAGAATATCAATTTTTTAATTATTTAGAATTTAGAAAATATGCACATTATTTTTAATGACCACATCATTTTTTTATGAAAATCACAAGCCTCAAGATTTATACAGTGTATTTTAAATGTCCAAATATTCTTCCATAAAATGATGAGACCAATATATATATATATATATATATATATATATATATATATATATATATATATATATATATATATATATATATATAGTTGAAGTCAAAATTATTAGTCCCCCTTTTAATTTTTTTTCTTTTTAAAATATTTTTCAAATGATGTTTAACAGTGCAAGGAAATTTTTACAGTATGTCTTTTTTCTTCCGGAGAAAGTCTTATTTGTTATATTTCAGCTAGAATAAAAGCAGTTTTTAATCTTTTAAAAAGCTATTTAAGATCAAAATTATTAGCCCCATTAAGCTATTTTTTTCCGGTAGTCTACTGAACAATCCATCGTTATATAATAATTTGCCTAATTACCCTAACCTGCCAACCCTAGTTAACCTTATTAACCTAGTTAAGCCTTAAAATGTCGCTTTAAGCTGTATAGAAGTGTCTTGAAAAATATCTAGTCAAATATTATTTACTGTCCTCAGGGTAAAGATAAAATAAATCAGTTAATAGAGATGAGTTATTAAAACCATTAGTTTTTTAATGACTGCATTGCTGCTGACTGCATCTTTCTCACACGCACATCTATTTTTCTCTCATCTTTTCACACATAGCCTGTTCCTATGTATATTATTGTTTGAGGCTGCTATTTTTATCTTCCTCTAATTCTCTGTATCTGTGCACTGCTTATTTTGCCCCACATTCTGCAGTGTGAGTCGTTTCTGAATGCTGACAAGCTGGTGAAAAACAGCCTCCTCCTTCTCGTCCTCCTGCTGAACATCTGTCTCTGCAGCACTGGAGCTCCTCCACTGATGCCCACAGATGGGACTCACAGTAGGAGCCCATAGCCAAATGAACCAAAAGGGCAAGCAACAAACATTATATGCTTAAAAACTGTAGAAGTAAACATGTTAGAATCTAGATTTGTTTCCTTTTGGATTTGGATGCTTTTCTTTTATGGTAGTTTTAGCATTGTTTTTTGGTGGGGGCCATTACATCTTTTCTTTGGTCTGTTGGGCTTTAGTTGTTTGTTTGTTTGTTAGTTTGTTTTCGGTAATAAATTGGGAAATTTACTAGCCAATTACAAGCCAAGATATTTTTATCAGCATTATATCTTTACCACCAGTTTTTGTCTATAAGTTAGTTGTACAACATGTTTCACAAAAAAATTAAGCTCATAAACTTATTAATTATAAATATTTTTCTTAAATGGAGTATGTATTACAAAGAAAATAATCTAAAAATACATATTTTTATATTTTTTTGTAAAATGTACACACTATATGTAAATGAAATAGTTTCTAGATAAATCCTTTATCTTTTCTTATTTCCTTTGACGTCTTTTTTAAATGACAGATTCTCAGTTTACCATCTATCCAACTCCCATTGCCAGTTACCTTAAAAAATCATTTTATTTATATAAAACTTGATTTTACTTTATATGTATATATACTGTTTGATTTTTTAGTTCATGTGGATAATTAATTTTTTAAATAGAATACACTCTGATTGACCTTTGGGAAGACAACCTTCTCATCCCCTGCTGGACAGGCCCATGGCTTTTGTGGATTAATTTAGGCCTGAACTCCAAGTGAACCTGGTCAGTGGAGAGGGTGCTGACAGTGCATGGCTGCTGGGGCAAATACTGTGCAAACCCAACACCCTGAGTAAATATTGGAGCAGTCCATCAGATGATCAGGAGATTGAAACAGAGTTGTCCAAGTCTTTGCAAACTTTCTATAGGAATTGAGCCTAATAGAGATAGCATCTGGGGATACAGTTTTTCCCTTCTAATTGCTCAACTGATTGCCTACATTTTTAATCAGATTTTCTAAAAAAAGAAAAAAGGACGTCAAATTAAATATATGCATGTATATTTATTGTAAAATGTAAATGCCAATATAGGCATTTTGTTTTTGTTGTCCATTGCACTAAATATTTCTGTGTTAAACAAATCTGTGGGTGAAAAATTAACTATTGATAGTTTAACTATAAACATTGTAAAAAAATAAAATAAAATAAACTAAGTTGACAACTTCAGATTTTATTGAAACAAATTTCAGGACATTTTTCAGCTTTTTCAGCTTTCAACCTAATTACTACACTCAATATAAGTTGAGTAAACTAAAAAATGTTGATTTTGAATTGCGCATTGGATTGCATTCACTGTAAAAAAAAAAGTTTACTCAACTTTAAATTTTAAGGCAACAAGCCTCAGGACATTTGAGTTTACTCAACTTAAATCGAGTCAAGTGTAGTAATTGGGTTAAAAGTTGCTCAAAAATTTCCTGAAGTTTGTTGCTATAAAATTTTGAGTTGAGTCAACTTTTTTTACAGTGAATGCAATGCACAATTCAAAATCAATAGAAAATCCAAGTATATTAACAGCACATTGTTATTTGTGTGTAAATGTACAGTTTAGACGAAAGTGGCCTTAAGAAATATCATAATGTCTTAATGTCTCATAATGTCTTAACTTGCAGTATCATTATGCTGTGCCGGATTGAATCCTCAAATCAGTGAGTGTTACACTGAACACCAATGAGTGTTTACATGTTTAGAGAGCCTGAAGGCACAAAAAGGTGAAGAGGTCATAGGAAGCCACCCGGTGTGTAATGCAACATTCCTCTTGTCAAACTATACAGACTAGAGTAACACTGATTTAAATTAGCTTCATTGTATTGCAACATCCTCTGACAAAGGACACAACCTTACAAACATCATGAAGAGCCTTTTAATTAAAAAAAGATCAATAAACAGGATTAAATCCACAAACAGATTTCAGAAAAATAAAATATTTATTTATCAGGTCACAGGTCCGAATATATTCGAAATACATAAACATGTCAGTCTTTTTCACATTTTATTACTCTTTCAACAGAGGAATGAATCTGTAGTGCAAAATAATTGACCGGACGACAACAACAAGAAAAAGAACATTTGAACGTTAAGCATATACCCTGTTAATGCATCTATTTAGTAGTTCTAATGCAGCACAAAAACACAAATAGCACGTAAACAATATTTTTTTCTACGACAGAATAAGTTAAATAGTCCTCCAGCAACGAAACGAAAGTCTGGCACTCATCAAATTGCAGTGGAAGAGTCCGAGGTAGGCGAAGCACCAGGCGATGAGCTAGTTGAGTGGTCTGCGTTTTGACCAGAAGAGCAAAGGGTTACTCTTTTAATCACCGGGGCCGTGCCTTCCTTCTCGCGCTTCTTCTGCTTCATTCTGCGATTCTGAAACCAGATTTTAACCTGCGTTTCGTTCAGTTCGAGTGTGGCGGCCACCTCCACTCTGCGCGCTCTGGTCAAGTATTTGTTGAAGTGAAACTCCTTCTCAAGTTCCGTGAGCTGCTTGGTGGTGAAATTGGTGCGTATTATGTTCTGCTGGCCATGGATTCCGTATTCGGCGACTTTAACTGAAAATTAGCATTGAATAAAAACACGACTTAGAAACTGTATTTTAATATCACATTATCTATAGCCATTGTAACTAGTCATAACTCACCTGTTTTAGGGGGATTCCTCTTGACTTTCATCCAGTCAAAGGTTGGCGCTTGTTTAATGTTCGTCTTGGAGTCGCTGTCACTGTCAGGGGAGACCTGATACTTGCTGAACGAACCATAGCCGTGTGGTTCGGGTTCTCCATATGCATATGATTGATAGTGGCTTGCAGAGACCGAGCCAGGCCTGCAGTTTGATTCACTGTAAGTTCCAATATTGGCTCCCATATTCACGACGGAAAAGCCAGGGGACTGAAGGCGCATGTGGTCATCTGCTTGAGTGAGAACGTGTTGATGTCCATAGTCCGAATGAGGAGGTCTGGTTTGCTTGCAGAAATTGCTGTGTCCTGTTTTACCCATGTCCACGTTGAGGTGGAAGGGCTGCGATTGAATTTGTGCGTAAGATGTGCCATGAGTTTCGTGCGGTGCCGATGTGAAAGTGTTTCCTCCGACTGGCCGTCCCTCGGGAATGTAACTATTTGTACTTGCACAAGCACTTGGCAAGTATTCTTGCTCTACAGGAAAACACCCAACTTTCGAACTATAAGTGTTAGAACCACGGTTATAAATCGTATAATCTAAGTAAGAATTCATTGTTGACTGACCAAGCAAAATTGATTAAGCAGGGTCAATATGAGCTGATGTGTGGTCCCAGTGCCCCTACAACCTCTAAGCAGTATGTCAAACCACGCAAAGTTGTATCTGAGCTCATATCAGTTAAGTGACAGATCATGTGACTAATTTTGCGCCAATAGTGTGCGACCTGCGGTAGCACTCTGGGCGTTGCAGGTGTCCATCAAACGATTCGTATTTACATGACAAACACATCAATCGAATCCACCCGTCAATCTGATAAAGTCGCTATGTAGGTCTAATGTGAATTAAAGCGAGTACAGCAAGAGATAATTTATAGCTATTGTGTACCTGTGACGGTGAGGACAACTGTATTTGTTTAGCGAGCTATAAATTTAATAGGCCGCTGAAATACATGATGCGCAATAACATCTGACGTGAATTAGTTTGCCTTTGTATTTTTTACCTAATATTGATCTTCTTGTATTGTTTCGAAATCTGAAGTCCTACTTAGACTTAGTAGACCCCCACAAATAAAGTTTGTCTTTAACTTTTAAAGTAAGATATGGGCATATCTATTTTAAGCATAGAAAACATAATCTATGGTCTATAATCTTTCGTTAAAGTAAGATATTTATGGAGCTAGGAAGTTTTGTTCCTAATAATCTTCAAATTTTTTCTCTCTTTATCTTTGACAGATAGTGGTTTAGCGTGTAATTTTATCCTAAAGTAAACGCTAAATTCTATTAGGGCAGCTAAAAAACTTTCTAAAATAAACGCAATATAAAGTAGCACACTAAAACCTCATTATAATGGCAATTTAATTTTTTTACACAGTGATTTGACTGATTTATTAACCCAAAATAGGTTACATTATTTAATAAAGTAAGTGCATTAATAAAGCCTAATATTCTATGATTGAAATTAATTTCGCAAATAATACGTGAAATTGGCTTTTTGTCATTTGAAGGGTAGCTTTGTTATGGGTTACGCTCTAGGGAATTTGCAGTTTTGTGGAAACGAGGTTGTTCAGAAGAGACAGAAACGCGACCCATTAGACTAGATAACCATGCCCAGCCATGTGTGCGGAAGGACTTTCACCTTAGGCATTGTAGATGCCATTAATACATTTTGTTGAAGTTTCGCGCAAGTTTTGGTTTGCTGCAGAGATGGTCCGACCAAGAGAGACTCTTTTTATACTTACGAAAACAGATTTTAAGTTTACAGCATCAAATGCTTGGTAAGTTGTTTCCAGCAGTATGTGCTTTTTTGAGTCAATCAATCCCAGCCGGAGGGTTCTTGTAGCTCCTGTGCTGTTATGAGGTTATTTTTTACTCTACATTTAAATAAACTTTGCATCAACATTTTAATAAAAAGCGAATACAATAGTATATAGTTAGGCCCATCTAACACTATGACAAAATTGTAATATTTCATCAAATAGGTATGCATTCTAACTTACTAAATTTAGGATTTCTGAATTGGCTTATATTTACTCACCACAAAAGACGCCACGCTCCTATTTGTAGCATTTGCTTGAATTATGTCATTCAATAATATATCCAGTATACAGTTTGCACTACAAACTATTGCAAACCTGTTGATCTGATATTATCTCTGGTATAGTTTGCAGAAGTTAATGCAAGTCTTGATTCAGATCTTGTGGCCATTTTTCTTCGTTTTTCTATTTGTCGTCCTGCATTAAATATCACTTTGCATTTTGGTCCTTGGCGGTCGCTGACTCAATATTTTTGGGGAGGATTTTTTTCTTTGAGTTCAAATGTAGAACTACCTTCTCCGAATAATTCCGCGACGCAGTGAGACAGACGATAGTGTTCCTTATCTGCATTTTCTGCACGGCTTTCAATATCATGTTAGTCTTTTCTGGAGGTTTAGCAAAACTCTGGCCTCTTGTGTCATGTGACAGTGTGGTTCCGGAGGCCCGCTGGAAGATGACCTGCAGGGTCAGAGAAACACGGTGTGAGTCAGGGAACAGGAATCTATCATCGCAGCTAAAAGGGAAAATATATTAATGTCTTTTTATCAAATACCACAATACATCACTGCAGCTGACAAAAATGAATACTCTAACATTTTTTCTTTCACTTTCTATAATTTAGATATAATTGTAAATTATTTTAAAGGCGCCTTGCCATGCAATGTGAGTTTCTCACAAACTCAAATATATAAGTGAGAAGTTATATTAAATTATCCGAGAAAATTGTCTTTAAAGATACCTTAGAAAATATTTTTCTTTTCATCGCTTTTTTGTTTATTATTAGTACACATTAAATGTTACATAGTCAACACTATCTAGCTTTACTATAAATAGCCTACTATAACTACAGCTTTTAGCAGGTTCCGATTTTTCATTCACTAAGTGTTTTGCTATAAGAAAACAAGAGTTCGTGCTAATGCATTAATTATTCTGAATGTATACAGCAAAATCTCTATTTACAACCACTTTAAAAAAAATATATGAACGATTACTATTGCATTCATTATGAAAATTCTAAATAAAACATTTAAAATAAGAATATGTAGCTATTTTGAAAGAAAAAAACCTATTTAATAAATTTGTCAATCTTTATACTGTATTTGTTTTATTCATGACTGGCTATAAAACCATAATCAAATAATGAAGAAAGGCTCGCTGGAAAAAACAATGGCAAGGGGAGTGTGCAGTGGTACAGAAGGACACACAAAGCCCTATGAACTCGTCTTGAACCTTAGCCAAAGTACTAGGGCGATTAATCACATAGACAGATCCTCCGCCATTCACAAACTGTGAGCTTATTCTTCACCATCTTGATTTCATAGAGAGCTTGAATTAGGTCACAATTCGCTGAGGCATTTGCTAATAAACATTTTACGTTTATCCACAGTCTAAATCACTTTAATTAGTAATAATAAAAATATATAATAATAAAAAACAAATATAGCATATCCGTTTTAACCGTATTCTCGTTGTTTTCAGCTCCGCACCAAACTTCTAGTTACTTCTAGTCATTAAATATGAGTTCTAAATTAATATTACATAGAATATAAATAAGATACTGTCCTCTCTAAATGTATAACGACAAAAATGCAATAAATGCTTACCTTTAAGCGATAAAGCTCAAAGGATGAAGCCTGTCAAACCCCGCGATGCAATTAAAGCATGTCACCCAAGTCTAACCAGACACATTTTAGAAAAGAGCATGTCATAACCAAACCAAACACGCTACTTTGAGCAAATTCTTTCTAAAAACGTGTATCGCACTGCTGAAAGGAAATCTTCCTCTTCTGAGAAGATTACATGTCTTGAATGTAAAAGCTGATGGAGGCAAAGAAGGATGTCTCTCGGAGTTAGCAATCGATATAAATTGAACTGCGAAACAAACAAAAATTAAGCAAGATCAGGATGTAGCTGTGAAGAAGTATTGACGTGGTGTACATACCAAACGATCAAGAACGTTTACCACACACAACACAGACCGAGAATGACGAGATGCATGCCATTTTAATTAAACAAGCTGCTGATAATGGTACTTGTAGGTCAGTGATCAGGCTGGTCAGTGACATAAGCAAAATAAAAGCAAAGCATTTATTTTATCTGCAATGAATTAAAAGTGGCTCTGTAGAACGTGGCTTTTTAAGTTTTAAAATGATGCAGATGCTACTGAAGGTGAATGTTCTCTGTATTAATGTAGCCAATGTACGATGAATTACTAAAATTATTATTTTAAAAAAGTTTGAAAATCGTATATGATTAACTTTAAAATAAAGCGATTTCTCAGCGATGAATTTAAAATAATCTATTAAATAAATAAATAATTTATTTACTATTGTGAAGAACATTTTAAATAATAAGGAAAGTCTTTATTATCTGTAAAGTAAATTATACACTGTAAACAACATTTTATGAAATGGACCAATACAATTTTCTGTACTCCAATAATAAATCGCACTTTTACAATTAAGTGTATGTATAGGTTTGTAAAGGAGACATCTGTTTCGAATTATTCGTGCATGATATTGTAATTAGTGATGTTGAAGATGAGAGAGTACCGCTGTCTTGGGATGGTTCTGCGATCAATTCCCCAAAGGTCCAGGGGCCTTTGATCTCTCAAGTTGATCTCAGTGTTCCATTACTTTGCTCATGTCATTGTAACAGTGGATTCGTCATAGACGGTCTAACCAATCTTGTGCCTTAATCTAATCCTAAACGTTTTATTGATATTACCATTGCTTAACCCAGCCTACAACAGTATCTTACTTAACCAATATATTAAATCAATTAGATCAACTATATTTATATATACAGTGATTAACATAAACTACCCCCTAATAAATGAATATTTTACAGGATTCTTTACAATAATATAATTGCATATAATTTAGTCAGTACCAAATTCTAAATTTGTCCACCCAAATTTATATGTTGAGGGAAAAATATACAAATATTTTGTAGTTCGTATTTTTTCTTTGCAATAATTATTTTACATTTAAATGCATTGTCTTTCTATTCCTAAAGATGTTAACCAAACACTATAGTTTTAATGAATAAAACTTTATTAAAACAGTTTTGTTGAAATGCACCAAAAGTTATTATCTATACTCACTCCTTCATGTATGCTGAGCACTGTATATGTGAGGGGCGTATCCGTTGCAATTGTACAGCCATATGAAACATTTAGCTAAAAACTACTTTAAGAAATTACTTAATGGATATAAAATAGATATATTCTTATAACAATAAATATACTTAATGAAGTGACAAAACCGTTAAATCCGTATTTTCGTCCGGTGAACAAATGTTTGAGGGACGTTTTGTTGTCATTTTAGCTGTCACTGAATAGTGTAGTGTATACATACAATTATAGTGATATTACAATGAAAGAATAATGAATTTAACCCAGTGCGATGGAAAAAATATGCATCTCAGTATTGCCCTTAGCATGTTTTTGTACATAAGATCGTTGCAACTATAGCATATCTAAGCTTCTGAAATATATAGGCTTACTCACAATGAATGGTGCTTATGCTGTGCGCTTGGTCCTACATTCTCCCGATTGATTGTCCACAGCAATGAGGACAGCTTCTTGCGAGGGAAAAGCCCCAAGAAATTTCTCCCAAACTCACACAAGTTAAGCTCGGCGAGAAGCCATTCTTGACGGATAGGCTGCGTTGCCTTTCTGCTCTGGAGCCTCTTCATTAATTATTTAATGAACCACGTGACATGGAAATAAGGGGTACGGAATCCGTATATTTTCACTTCTAGCCTACTTCATTCACCTCTTCATTCCCAATGAATTAGCCACTTTTGTATAAACGGGAAATTAAAGAAGCTTATTTTATTAATTCAAATACATATTAGCAAAATAGTAACAATTACTGTAGGTATTTTTTTCTCATTATAAGTAATGAAAATTCAGCTGACATCTGACAGCATAGTGAAACCAAAGCCTAAATATATACCTCTTTATTTTGTCACATTCCTTCTTCTCAGTTGTTTATCCATTTGATGAACACAGCGTCACTGTGGTGCACTTGTTGCTAGAAATATAAAGTAAAATCAGTTTTAATAAGCATAACAAAACATTTTTGAGTAACACCAAACATCAATACTGTCACGTATCATAACATTACACCCTCAAGTACGCTATTTTCTATCGTCGATTATTGTATTATTTTGTTGCCCTGGCGTCATGGTGGCGCAGTGAGTAGCACGATCACCTCACAGCAAGAATGTCGCTGGTACGAGCCCCAGCTGGGACATTTTTGTGTGTAGTTTGCGTATTCTCCCCGTGTTCGCGTGGGTTTCCTCCAGGTGCTACGGTTTCACCCCATAGTGTGAATTGAAAAAGCTAAACTGGCTGTAGCAGTAGTGTATGGGTACTTTCCAGTGCTGGGTTGTGGCTGAAAGGGTATCCGCTGCGTATAACACATGCTGAACTGCAGTTGGCGGTTCATTCTGCTGTGGCGAGCCCTGATTAATAAAAGGAATTAATGAATGATGAATGTAGACTAATTTATAAATGGTTTAATGATATTTTGTAAGGCTTTATAATATCATATATAATCATAGTTCAACATAAACTAATGCATTAATACACTTTAAAGTTGTTTGTTAATATTAGTTAATGAACAGTGAGTTTACTTGAACTAACGTTATTTAACTTTAATAACATTAAATAACGTTATTTAAGATGAATAATAATAAGTGAATTATTTGCTCGTTGTATTAAATACATTAACTAACATTAACCAAGACCATACCCAATCTTTTGCTCTTTCTTTTTGCATGTAAAAATAACAGTTAACATAAATAATGTTTTATAAGGATGATCATGTAGCTTGTTTTTATTTTTAAAATTCTCACGTTGTCGCCATTTGTCACAATGTGATAAATGATGTAGCGCCATCAGGTGTCTAAATTTCAAGACCTTCACATCATTTTAGATAGATAGATAGATAGATAGATAGATAGATAGATAGATAGATAGATAGATAGATAGATAGATAGATAGATAGATAGATAGATAGCAACAAAAATAATCAATATGTCCACAATTCCACTGTATTGCGTTGTGTTTATGTCAACTACATATTCCCCAAGACACGAATTTGCGACTGTATATTCACACAAATTCGGATCTACAGGGTATATATAGATGACAGACATCATTGGTATTTGTTAAGTTATTGTATCAAGCCAGCCTTGCAGAAAAAAACATGGTTTTCTTTCATTGTGAATTTGTTGAAACTGCTCAAATAGAGCAACAAAGTTAACTTTCATACTTCCCTCGGAACTGCTGCTTTCTTTCGTTTACACTATGTCGTTCTTCTCATTTCAGCTTCATTTCTGCATTATCAAACCAAACCCTACCAATAAGACCTCGATTTAGACTTTTATATTTAAGATATCTTTACAAAATTAATACAGCAGTTGTTAAAACAAAACCAAATATTATAATCACACATATCTGATTACTTTTAGTTGGAACAAATCCTGAGATCACGTAAGAGATAGGTAAACTTACTATGTGCCTCATGATCTGCACAAACGATGGTTCCCTTCTTGTTGTCTCTATATTTCCTTTGCCTCCAGTAAGCATACTTTCATTAACAAATCAACGTGTTATATATATATAAGTATTTAGCATGACTTTTTTCTTTCGGACTTTCATTTGTGTGTCTCTGCAGGACTAGCTTCCAACAGCTTCACATGAGACATCACACAACCTTTTTGGGCGAATAACGATCGATTAAAGATGAAAAATTCAAGATAACCTTAAGCGAAATATCGTTTATCAACTTCATTAGGCATCCTGCTGCTGCACGCTTCGATTAGTGAGCTTTCCAGAACGTGTTATCGCCCTAAATCGAGTGCAAACAGACCAGTAAAACAGACCACTAATTAAATACCCAATAATTCTTATTTTAATTCAATTATTTTTTATAGCTGTGCATAAACTACATGTTTGCTTAAACGTGCTTAAATTACTGGACAAAGATATTGTTCTTTGTAAACTCATTTGCATTTTTGATACAAAACAGCACACCTTCAAGTAAATATTGAATAATTTCATGATATTTACTGCTGTCAATTGTTTTGTTAATATTTGCCCCTAGCTCAAAAGCTGTGAATGGTGCCAGCAATCACATAACTCTGTGACCTCAGCGTGAACTCAAATCCTTCACCAACCAAAGCACTGTCACGGTTTTCTTTCTTTTTCAATATTCAAAAGCGCTGATATTTGAATTTTCACCATTAATAATTATATAGTTAATCGTTTTTTCTCAGTAAGTCCAATAGCTATTATGATTATTTCTTGTAGTAATTGTCATATTTTACCAATATTGCTTTGACCTCGTTTAGACACCAAAAGAAAAAAAGACACGAAAGAGATTTTGTTTCTAAACTGTCACATTAAACAAACATTTTTTTTTACATTTTTCTACGTGTTTTGGAAAATTCTACCTAAGATGTAATCTATATCTTTTTCAAAGAAAACATAAAGTGTGTATGCAGAATGAGAAAATAACAGATCAGGAGCTCGGTGTGAGGCGGGCCCTGCTGGTGATGAAGCAGCATTGCATCAATCTAACTGGCAACAAAACTAAATTTCAGACATTTATGATTCAATGAAAACAAAATTATTATCAGCAGAATGGTAAAGGTAATCTAATATGTTAAGCATCGCGTCGACTGTTTGGTTTACTTGCAGGCACTAGGCACTGTTTCTCAATGTTGTGTCAATAGTTTACAAAACCATCTTTAGGAGAATTACAGTCCTGACTTTTGAGTCAAAATATATCTCAAAATCACCATCCAGCTAGTTTGGCATGGACCTTGTGCTTCTTTGGGAAGGCATGTTTGCCACTTTCGTCTACTGACCTCCGAGTGATCCCTTCCCAATGAATAATTGATGAGAACAGCGCCCAGATTACCCTATCAATATGCAAAACGCATTATAGAGGCAAAATGGGACTTTAATAGTTATGAATCGAAGTACCGTTTCTATCACGAGTAAATTGTAGTTACATTCAAGTATCTTTTTTTCCTCAACAAAAACACAACCATAGTTTTCTTATGCTCAAAATATTGCTCCTATTTCAAATGTCCAAACATACAAGCATGTACAAACTGAAAAGACATTCTCTATAATTTTCCTATCTTATGATACAAGTACACAACTGAACATGGAATTCCAACGTATTTTACCACGTTACCTTCAATGCCGCTATTATCTTTTTTTTTTTTTTTACATCTTTTTAAGAAATAGGTTTTGGGTTTTGAATGAAATAATTTAAAATGTATTTCTGCATGTGTTCATTTAAAAGGAAATAGAACTTATTCAATTATACACGCACAATAAAAAAAAAACTTTATCCAAATTTCACTTTGCACGTAATAATTTTTTTTGTAGCAACACAATTATTCTACATTTTTTTCTCTCTTTCTCTTTTCGCTCGAGTTCAAATCCGCCATTATTTACAACTGTATTTTGATCACTGGATATCCAGCCTTGGGATATCATGTAAACCTATCTGTCATTTAAAAAAAAACTATAAATTAATTAATTAAAGGAACGAGCATTTAAAGAAGAAATTTGAGACTTACAGAGAAGACGTGTTGCCTTTTCACATCCAGCAGAATTATTATGAAAATCATTGTTGACAGCAAAGTCAGCATGGGATATTACGACTGTCCAGTTTGAGAAGACTCCGCATGCTGCCCACAACCTTTAGAATCCCGCTGAAGCAGTTAAACAGTCAGTTACATTCAAGAATGTGAATTATGTAGCGCATTTTCAACCCCCCTAAAACCATAAAACTAACTTTATGGACCTCACGTGACTTTTTTAGAGCTACCAAGTGCTACATGTTGGTGTTATGGACTGAACTTCAGAAGAAAATAATCGGGGAAGATGATTTATCTGTTGTGTTTCATACAAATAGGGCAGAATGTTAAAATAACATGTAAAATCGTTCTGGTGATCCGATTTAAGCATTAACCGTGTAAATTGAAAGGTTGGGTAATTGTTGTGTTGTGATACACTAGAGCTTAGTTTTAATATTGCCTATTATATCTATACTGAGATCCAAAATGTTCTCGCATAAACTTGATTTGTTCATAATTATTTAATATGAGCACGTTAATACTTATAGCCAAGAGAATTCCAGATGAATATGCACAATATGAGGGAAACAATTTACAAAATATCAGGCGATTAACTGCTCGATAAAAAGGAAACTAGTTGCATATGTTTTCAAACAGGCCTACAGACAAACAGAGACAATCAGTTATGTATGGCAGAAAGAAAACTTTATTATTCTTTTTGGATGAACTCGTTTTCATTTTAGACACAAATACAAAAAATGGCAGAGATACCAATAACGTGTCGATGACAAAACATTTTTTATCCAACTTTTAACACAGAACGTCCATAACTCACGTTGTGCACTACAAATAACATATTGGTCACTACTGTATAAAGACATTCTTCATAGGACATCTTACGAGCCCAAAGTAATTTTGTGCTGCAGCCTAAGTACACAAATGTAAGTGCGAAAAGATTCATTTCCTCGCGATGCAGGTATCAGACGAGAAATCAAAAAAGCCCAGCACATAACAAGAATATAGCATGTTGCTTGAATAATACATGACGTTTCAATACAAGTTCAAGGATACAACAAAAGATTCTCTTTTTACACTATCACTTAAGATAGTTAGGTAGTGCGAGTTGTACTGTACATAATTTTTGTAGATCTAATACGTTGCACGAATAGCTCACATGGAACATGCTTTCCTCCACGAATGTATAAACTTGACACACTTGACATTCACACTCATTTTATGGCAATTGTAACTAGTTTAGCATATGATAACATTCAACAGCTGACAATTTTGAGTTGCACGGGAGAATCACACGTCGTCAGGTGAGAACAAGCTGAAGGTGCAGCGCTGTAACAGTAGTCGAATTTTCCAATTGATGTGATGTGATTTGATCAATTTTGAAACGCGCTCCCCGCTGTAGCGAGACTCATACTTTTCAGTTTATTGTCCTTCTTCCATTTCATCCTGCGATTTTGGAACCAGATTTTGATTTGCCTCTCTGAGAGGCAGAGAGCGTGAGCTATCTCTATTCTCCTCCTGCGCGTCAGATATCTATTGAAATGGAACTCTTTCTCCAGCTCGAGCGTCTGGTAGCGAGTGTAAGCTGTTCGAGCCCGTTTTCCATCAGGTCCAGTCATATCTGGCATAAGCAAGGGCAAAAAGATAACAAGTAAATATCACAAAGCCATTAAACGCAAATGGACTTAAGCGTCCATTACATTTTGGATGTTGGACTACTGGTTCATATGTATATTCAAAAAGATGTGTGGTTTATAACCATTGCATTTTATGACTTTACTGATGCACAATAATTTACCATGCAGTCGCCTCTCAGAGAGTAGTTATTCTCTATTTAACCTATACTTATGCTAACTCAATGGTCCGTTTAAGCTTTAATTTTTAAGACAAACATTAGAAGGTTGCTAATTGAATACTACTACTTAAAATAAAATCTGAATTGAAAAACATGCATTTAATCCACGTGTAAGCTGTAAATAAATTAAAATAAAAAAAAGACTAATCATTAAGATAGGACTGTTGTATTTTCATTTGATCATGTCCAAATAAAAAAAATACAGAGATGTTTATACCATGGCTAATGTGCAGCTTCCTCATCCAGGGGAATATCTGTGGAGTTTGACCGTCGTTAGGTGTTGTAGTCGAGGTCGCCACAGATTCTTGCTTCTGCGTACGACTGGTGGTGGTGGTCTGTGCTCCTTCCTCGGTCTCGGACGAGACATTGGTTTCATCTGTGTCCGCAAAATGTGTGCTATTGCTGCTGGTAAGATTGTTGCTGTTGGTAAGTCTGCTGTTGCCGGTTGGTGTGCTCTGATCAGATGGAGGAGAGGAACCCTTCAATTCCAGAGTATCGCTGGTGGCACAAGACAGAGGATCTGGAGACGAGAGAGAGCAGCTCGACTGTCTGTACCGGGTCTCCTGACTCGGATTTTGGAAAGCGCGAGAATTATCTCCAACTGCCCCGAAATGGCCATTGTTGGGACGGTTTACACTGAGGTCTATTCCATTGTAGTTGTAACCGAAAGACCCGGAATGCATGCTGGTGGAGTCCCTGTAAGAAGCGTTCATAGCGCCGTTAGTACCATAATTTAGTAACTGATAGTCAGACCCATTCGGATAGCGCCCTGAGAACGAGTTTAGAAAATAAGAGCTCATTTGGATGTTTTAAAATGTCTTGATTTGTAGATCTTGGTCGTTAAAATCCAGCGCCGCACAATTTATGATGTAATAATGAATTATAGCAATGCACTGTACTTCGTTTTTGCCATGTATGCGGCCAAATATGGGAGAGCGTTAGGGCATCACGTGCCTTTGTTGACCAGTCGTAAATTCTCTCTGATGACTTCAAGAGGTAATTCATGCTCTATGGTTACAAATGATGACGAAATGATGATCGTTTGGTTCAACTCAATGGTGCCTCCCCATCGCGCGCCACATCCCACGTTAGCGGAGGGCGTCACCTACTGGGAGAACTGCAAAATGACCAAACACCTGCACATTTCGGGAAGCCTTTTTACTACAAAACACTGATTTCACTGCAGGAAACAATTTTTTTATTCATACACAAATGTATGCTAAAGTAAAGCAAAGAGTAAATAATCCGCTTTGTTTGTAAGAAAAATATTTACACTAGACTTAGTAAGCAATTTTGGCTGCTTTATACTTCCATCAGACTCTTTATCAAGCCATAAGCTATATATAGGGTATTTGTAGCTTCTTAACTTTGGTTAGCCTTATTTCTGTCATAACGAGTTATACAAAAGTTTATTGAAAAATTAATAAATAAATAACATTGCGGAAATGGACAGATTCTTATTTTGCAATCTGACGCTCTGACCAAAGAGGTTCACGGAACAATGAAGAGGTTTATAATTGAAATACAATACAACTATTGTTTATATATATATATATATATATATATATATATATATATATATATATATATATATATATATATATATATATATATATATATATATATATGCGAGTCTTTCAGATTTAATTTTTTTTCATGAAAAGTGCATTATTAAAGCATAAAGTTAGCAATGAAACATTTCTGGCTCATTGTACCAGAGAAGACGAGCATGTATTAATAAAGAAGGGTAAACCACAGTAATTGTTAAACAATCATTTTATTGACAAAATGACATTGCTAACAAAGTATGGTAGCGTATTATTCATAGTGCATTCACATTTACACAAAAGTGACGACCCAATAAATTAAGAATAAAAATGTCACATTTTCTTTTTTCTAACACACGTGGACTGAATACAGGACCATTAAACCCAAAGTTTTAAGCATGAACTTTTCTTTCAAATTAGGCATTACAACGCTTAAGCGTTTGAAAACGTTCATCTTATTACATTTGAAAGTCCAAATAAAATACTTAACAGTAGTTAAAGCACCTTCCAGAACTTTTACCTTCATTACAGAGGTGAGTTCGATGCCTGTTTTTATAAGAAAGAAATCTCTCTTGAAGCATTTTGGAGTCGACATAACACTTATTAGGTAGTTTTTTTTCTTGTTGGAAAGAACATGTATGTATTAATTAAAACTACATTCTACATGTTATGTACAGTGTTTCTAGGGCTTCGTCATAAGCTGTTTTTTAGCATTTATCCAGCCTTTCCACCATCTTCCTCATCGCTGACCTTTGCCGAGTTCACTGCTTTATTCTCCTTTTTCCATTTCATTCTGCGGTTTTGGAACCATATCTTGATCTGTCGTTCCGTCAAACACAGAGCGTGCGATATTTCAATTCTTCGCCTTCTTGTCAAATATCTGTTAAAGTGGAACTCCTTTTCCAGTTCAAGAGTCTGAAACCGAGTGTAGGTTTGACGACCCCTGCGGCCAGTGCTGCCAGGCATTCCTGTCAGGAAAAGTGAAAGACATTCTAGGTCAACATCCAATAGCCTAGACATACAAACAGTACAACATAAATACACCACTTGGCAACTAATTGTCCCTATTATCATTATCACGTTGATTATAATTAATACAGTGACATCAGATTTCACATCTGCACTCTGCATCTACAGATAAGACGTGCATTTTTATATAACGATTATGACATAGTTAGGTGTATTGTACACATATTTACGCATCGTGTTACCTAAACCGCTATTCTTTATTTAGTAAATAAAATAAATTACTTAATAAAAAACTTTTTCTAAGCACTGTAGACCATGTCTCTTTATTATGTAGGCTATGTTTTTATTCGTTGACAGTCTCGTAGTGCTAAGTAGGCTAAAGAAAATTGCTTATCTTTTTCTAAGACATGCAAGGAAATCACGAATGTGTCTTACCATTACATGAGTTCATCCTCTGCATCCACGGGTAAACCGGGGTACATGGTTTATCTTCAGTGCTAAAATATCTCTCTGTGCCCTGTTCTGTGCAGTCCGTCTTGCACTGGTCCTGGGTTAGGACCAGCGAGTCTTCCAGACTTCCAATAGCGCACGAGCGGTCAGCGGATCGGTAAATATTGGGTGTTGAGTAGTCACAAGCACTGGTGGATCCGCTTCTCCCAAAAACACCCCCAGCTTGCTGATAATACGAGGAGGTGTAAACCTTGTCTTGGACATTGGTAGCTCCGAACGTAGCGCTTGGATAATGTCTTAAAGAATCTGTATATCCAGAGGAATATAGCGGTATCTGACCCAAGAAAGACTCCTGTCCTCCGGGTAGAGACACGGGAAAAGTTGAGTTGACGAAATAGGAACTCATGGGGTGGCCAGTGTTATTGTCCGTGTGTTATGATTTGTTGTGTTTTATAGTCCAAGTGGTATTTGCCATTACTTTATCTGAGATTTGGTTTTAGCCGAAGGGGGGGTGGCGAGGTTCCAATCTGAGACCGCGGGGAAACGGACCAGCTGATCAGTGCCTGACCAATCCTGAGCATTTCTACCAACAGGATAACGTGTACGGTGGGGGCCCTCTTGTTGCACAGAATCGAATCCCCAGGGTATTTCAAAACACTGTACGCAAGTGTATTTCTCCGTTTAACCCGTAAAAATAAGAAATATTAAAATGCAATAATATAGCCTAAATAATCAACTACGTCATAAGAGTATGTGGGTTATTATGAATGCACTCTCTAAATTTTCTCAAACGAAAAATTCTCGCAAAGCTTATATTGACGCACGTCATTTTTTGTCTTAATTCCAAAATCGCCATGCATTAAATAATTAAAATCCGTTTACAGACATCTTATTGGCTCAATTCATAAAATCAGTTTAGATAAGCACAGACGGACACTTTCCAGCACGAACTTGTACTGACCTTTACCCTTTTTAAATATAAAATATTATAGTACAAAATCGCTGTTTATGCAAACAGCACATTCTCATGCTGAGACAAAAAAAATCCAGCACAAATAAGTCAAAGACACAACTTGACTGCTATACGACAATTTGTCAGATCCTTTCTGTTTTTTAAGGAGACAAATATGACTTTGGCAGGGTTTAAATAGGGCTTTCAAATTATTATATATATATATTTTTTTTACCTATCTATGCATAGACCTATCCATCATTTTTGTTTCCCCCTCATGTTGTCACTGATATCAAAATACTGTTTAATTTCTTTCCAGACGTCCAACTTGCTCGGAATATTTAGTGAAATCAACATAAAAACCAGCTTCAGCAATATGTAGCCTACATTGAGTAACCACCCTGTACTTTACCAATTTTCTTATATCAGTTAAAACACAACATTAACATCAAATAGCCAGAGCATAAGTTCTAAAAAAAATTTAAAATTAAACGCCACGTCAGTTCAGCCCATGCTGTTCTTTGTTGTCACTTTATTTTAAAGGGTTGCTAAAGTTATTTAACACAAGTACAGGTAGACATCTTATTTAAAAATATTAATGTTTGGTACAATTAAAAAGCAATATTCCCTATTTTTTATTTACATTTAAATAAATTAGTTGAGCCTTTTGTTAAGACGAAAGCAAACATCTCAGAAAAAAACATTAATCAATTAACTGTGATTTAAATTAATAAAAATTGATCTTTAGGGGTATTATTGAATATCGATAAGGTGTAACTACGTAAGCAGGCTACGCGGTGATACTATTGTTTTAAGTATGTCCCTTAAAAGGTTGGGGCATCCTTGTATTATTTAGACTGCAACGATTTTGTCTATATAATTTGAAAAATGTTAATTATCTGATTAATTAGTCAAATCCTATTTTTTTTCCCCTTATGCCCTCAGGCTGGAAACAAAACGAATCATTCTGTCATCCTTATGCTACTGTAATAAAACATTGGAAACCCACGACTGAAAGAAAGAAAGAAGGAAAGAAATGAAGACATACATGTTCAAAATTATCAAATTAAAAACATCTTAGGCATGAACCATTTTCAAACTGCATGTGTCTATTACTTGTTCATTGTAGACACTTTGACCGATCACATCTAGGGATGCTAGAGAGGTCTATGAGTCAGATCACTCGCAGAGAAAACCCAAACACAGACTCCCAGAATTTTGCCACAGTTACCAAATCTCGTCACTAGATGACATCACAGAGCAAGATTTGAGAAAAGGTGTGCTTTCTTCAGGAGCGGGAAAGCGTGCAAGAATAATTTCCCATGTGATAGTAATAAAAAACATAGCCTAATCTTGGTTATTCAGATTAAGAATAATTTTTTTTTGGCAAAAAATCCGTTTCAAACTACTGCATTTTGTTCTCAAAAACAAATTCAGTAACCATTAGATAGTTGATTATGCTTTTAAGGCATATTTGTCTTTACAAATGTCCTTTTAAAAGCAAAAACCCATCCCTTTGAAGGAAAATTTTGTAATTTTTAACAAATTCCGAGAAACACTTTTAAACCAACAGCAGAAACAGCATCCACTTTAAACAGTCCATAACAAAAACATTATCGCAAAATGACAGAGCTGTGGCATCGCATTGCTATTCAGAAACTCAATATAGAGATTTGTAAACTCAGTGTTAATGTAAATATCAGTACACAGCGGCCATCTTGTAACTCTGTAAATAAAGGTTATTTCTAATATCTCCCGCCAAATAAGCCGTCAGCATTTAAAAACACTGACACAAAAGGCCTGATTGCGTTTCGCTGTGTTGATCTTTATAACTAGCATACGACTCTTGAAGGTTTGTTAAATGTTTATAAGAGTTATTATCAATTTAAATGATCCAAATGATCTAACTTTAATCAGCTTGTGTTGTTATGCAAAATACATGTTAGTGGTAGTGTTTTAAATGAAATATGCCCACATTGGGTTGCATCATGACATCGGTGCAGTGCAATACAGAAGACTATAGGTCTAGTCCTACCTTTTTTCCCCGTCATCATTGCTTCACTGGAATGATCCAAAACAATCAAGCAGGTTCGCCGATTAACCAGGATCTCGTGTCGTATTATTAGATGCACGTGAGATGCAGGAAGAGCTAAAACTTGATAAATTAGAGAAGAATGGACTAAGGTCCTCAGTGAATTTTGACCCTTGCACTCCTAACTGATGTGAAAATCTGAAGACGTTTCGTCCTAGCGTGACGTCGAGCTTTCCATCCATATTAACGCACACTATTCGGCAAGCTCAAGAGATTTTCCTTTTTCTCTGCTTTAACAAAACGTAAAAAACATAAAGGACAGAGGTGCTACTGACTGCGCCCTGACCAAAAGAATGCTGCATTATAGCCACTTGGGAAATCATAAAAAGTTCATGTTCACAGAGAGCTGCTCACGTGACCTCCGTCAGCCAATCCACTGGCAGAACCACACATAAAGTTCTATCACAAAGTTGTAAATTTTCATAAACAGCTGTGAGTTTATTGCTTTGCTTCACCAGTAACTCGGTCGCCGCCATCTTTATTCGTTAAAAGAGGAGGAAAAGCACATCACTTCGTTAACATCCAAAGACAGCTATAGCTTGTGATAGCATTATTTCTTTTTAAAAATGTAAAACCAAGGTTATAATTTTTGATATCAGATTTAGAGATAGTCCATAGTCAATCACTACAAATGTTTTGCACTGGTTCTTTCTAAACAATTAAAATGTGTAGGCCTTTATCTAAAATGCTAACTAGCCTATATACAGAGATACTATACTTTTGACCAGTTTATATTTAACCAGAAATAGACCAATTACCCTAAAATAAAACCGCACAATTGCGTGTTTCTCAATAGTCTGCGTTCTTTTGTCATGTGACTTTAAGAGAAAAATAGACAAATGGAACGTGAAAGCTTTTTACAGCACTAAACATGCGTGGAGGAAAGAATTGCTTCCTGTATATACGAACAAACACTTATTTCCGACATTTATTGGGGCAATAAAACAGTATAACCCAAAAGTGACCGAGCATGGTCTGTGGGTTATACCCTCGAAAAGGCAATGCTCTTGAAGCTCAGCAGTGCATGCTGTCCAAAAAGACTCCAAAAGCATCACAAGAGGTAATATTCTGAATTAATTAACTTTTTATAAAATTTTAACACATTTAGTGACAATGTATATGCATTGTATTTCTTTACATTTATTGAGATACTCAGCAAGCATGTATTTAAAATTATAATCTGTAAAGAAGGCTGTATTCTGTTTAACAGACTATTTAAAATTTCCTTTTATTATAATATTTATCAGTAGGCTATTTTTCTATTCTTAATTTTGCATTTAGCAAAACAAAACTACACGAATTTACGTTTTTCGCAATTGATTTTAAAACTTAACCTCACCTGTTAACACAAGATTCTCCGTTACATTTTGAAATTAAAAATTTGCAATTTGTAAACAAATACTACCATTCGTTTATTTTTAATAGCTTAAATTAATAGTTTTATTTAAATATCAAGGATTATTATTTTTTATTATTATTTTTGCATGCTTCTTTTAGAATATATAAAATAACAATAGACCGGGATTTTATGTCATCGTTAATACTGGTTTAGGTAATGATAAACTTATTATAAATAGGTCTGTATCAATTTAAATGTTTGATTTTGCTGGGGTAAATAAAATCAAATATACGGTAATTGTCCATGAGATTAAATTAAAGCCTCACGAAATGTGGCGTATAGTGTTGGATTTTTATGCAAGTTTTCTATTCATTAAGTATTATTTCACAACTGAAAAAAAACATTGTAATTGTTGTCTTGAGATTGTTTGTTTGTTTGTTTTTGTTAGATTGTTATGCTCCTAAAATCATCAAAATCTTGAAAAGTTGTTCATAATAAACAAAAACAAAATATGTGATATAATTAGGCTATAGCCAAAAAGTTGGAATGGTACAGTTTTTAAAATTCAATAAACAACGTTTCGAGATGAATTGATTATTTGTTTTATATATATATATATATATATATATATATATATATATATATATATATATATATATATATATATATATAACTATTTTTATTTTTAAGAAACAGCACATTCTATCCTATAGCAAGGCCTGCCTAACCACACGTCCGTGCAAACATTTTCTTCTGCACAGGCCACGCTTCAATATTCGTTCATTTTTTTATTTAAAATAAGTAAACAAAATAAAGTTTAACGTTTTAATAATTTTGAAGAATGTCCTTACCCCTTGATCACACGAGGAGAAACAAGAAAAGAAACGCGTAATACAACTAGGGTAAAGAAACAATGGAAGGAAATGCATGTAAAATATCTCTCTCAACACCACACATCTCTCTTTGTTATATATATATATTTGTTTCGAACAGTCCACATTAGGACCATGTTTCATTTTGTGGCGACACAATAAATATTTATTGTGGGGATCTTGAGTTGGTATGGTATACTGATGTTTTCGTATAATTAAAACAAAGCCAATTTTCATGACATGGGCATTAATTTTTATTTAAACGCGTTAATCTTTTTAAATAAAATCATTATATTTAACATATTTTGTTTCTATCTTAGGCTTAATAACACAGACAAGGCAATACTAAAAATACGAATATGATTTTCGTTGGTATAGGACTTAGTCATCGAATCGAACCTTAAAAATAACGGAATTAGTCATCGAATGATAATATTTAATATCCCCTTATACAAACCGATTATTCAAAATTAAGACAACAGGCCTACGACGTAATAAATTGGCTTACTTTTCTTTCATCTATAAATTTAATTTGCTGAATTAAGAAAAAAATTATTAAACTCAAATTACATTTTTTTTTTTAAATATGGAGGTGAATGAAGCCTATAGTCTCTATGATTTTAAATACGAGGACTTTTGCAAAGCCATACTTAGCCTATACGTTCTTTATAACCAGTTTTTATATTTATATCTTGTAGTTTGCTATTTTTGCTTTGAAATAATAAATATGAAATTTAGATAATCCCTAAAGTCAAGTGAAATAATTGCCTTGTTGATCTTTTTATTACTACAACGAATAAATGTAATCATACAAATAGAATAAAACAGCACGACATTTATTGGCTAGAAATAACATTAAGGAGAGCTCTGAGGACTTTGGTATTTTCAAATGTTTAATCTCGGGCCATGAGTTTCCTATAGGCTCCACCAAGCCGAAATCTCTGAAAGAAAGGTACCACAATTAAGAGGCATCTGGCACTTGGTGTTCATAAATGACGAGACTGAGATTGAGACCAGACTGCTCGGGAATCCAGTAAGAGTCATAAAAGCCTGTAAATTGCCTGCATGAAACGAAGTGCTCATATTGAACTTTTGGCTTGAGGTCAAATGGTTTTGCTTAACACATTGTGGTCAATATACGTGACTACTAACGTTAAAATTATATTAATTTAACAATAATTGTTATTATTATTAATAATGTTCCGTTGTTGTAACGTGTTCAAGGATAACTATAAATTATAAGATCTTCAGGTCCTTAAAACACCTTTGAAGTTTTTTTTTTTACCAGACAAGGACACAGACCACCCATGCTTGCCTTAAAGCATCTCAAATAGAAAATAAATAGATGTCACATTTTTAAATATATTTTATATATATTTATATATGCTTAAAAATGATATGTATTTCTAAAAGATTATTTTAAAATTTATTTATTTATAAATTATTAATGTAATATGTTTCAAGGTTCATTTTACAACTTTAGTCATTTTATTTGAAGAGGTGTTAAGTTAAATAAGTTAAAGCAATTTCGCTTTCTTTTAATTGCTGTAAACTCTTACAACACACAACAAACTTTCATGGGATAATCAAAGGGAAAGGGGGGGAAAGAACAAATGCGACAAAGGAAGTGTTTTCTTGAATTTTATTGTGGCTTCTTTTAGGAACCACTTCCAGTTGAAGACAATAGAAAATACAATAGACCAGTGCTTCCACGGAACTGCAATATCAAATATTTACACAGCATTTTAAGAATAACATTGTGCGTTTAAACCATCCACTTTCAGGAAAGCATAACGCATGGATACACTGACAAAATGATTGACGCAATGACCCACATGTTAGGTAGTTCGGTTGAAGAAATGTAAACCTGAATAATAATTTTTCGAACAGTAACAAATAACAAAAGTGCATTGTCTTGCAGTAAGATATACACTCACTAATGTAGACTCCTTGTCCCATTTTTATAGGCTGAAACGGTTATAGAAGACCTTCTTGGATTGTGATCTCCACTAATTCGAAGGAAACAGACGCCATGCAGACCATACACAGCCTTCGCCTCACATGCCCTCACTGCATCAGGAACCTCATGAGGATAAGCACACCAGTGAAATCTTACAAACCTGACACTCATTAAAACATAGTTAGCGGAAATAATAACTGTCTGTAAACATAAATGCCTCATAAGTTTGCAATAAATTGAATACATGATGCAACAGCCTTTGCATGTCGACGAACGTTTTTGAACTTCAGACTTTTATTTAATTGAAGTTGATCGATTGTGATGTTTTTATAGTCAAAAGACTATTTAGAATTGCTAGATGCCTCCGAGTCCTCTTCTCCAGATGTGTGTTTTTCTGACACCTGGCTCCCCTCTTGCCTCTCTCTCTCAATTTCTTCTTGTTCTGCTTTGCTGCTGGGAAACTTGTCTTTGTTGTGTTCTTTTTTCCACTTCATACGCCTGTTCTGGAACCAGATCTTTACCTGCCTCTCAGTGAGGGCCAGTGCGTGAGACACTTCGATGCGCCGCTTACGGGTCAGGTAAGGATTGAATAGGAACTCCTTCTCCAGCTCCAACGTCTGGTAGCGGCTGTAGGTCTGCCTGCCCCTCCTCCGTCCGGTAGCTAAGGGGGAAATAGAAGCGTCATTAATACTGGTGAAAGCCTTTTTGATTAAGATACTTATCGTATAGTTTTAACGTGAGAGCGGTTATAAGTAACTTTAATCCTGTGTCATTCACCAGATATTTCACCTGCACGTAAATAGTGCGTTATGCTGTACCATGTCCTAAAATAAAAGTTTAAAACGGGGGTTTAGTATGGATGGCATAGAAGAACCTTTTATGTGTTCCTTGGAGTATTTTCCAGTGATCAGCAAACATAAAGAACAATAAAGCTATTTTCTTAAAAATAAAGATACCTTATTTGCACTTATGGTTCTTTAAATATTTTTTAAGATTATTACATATTTAATAGTTATTTATTAGTTATTAAAATTATTAGTTATTTACACTAATAAGTATCTTAATTTTTAAGAGCTCTCCTTAAGAAACTTTTTTAGTGCACTCAAAAAATATTTTTTACTTGTTCGGTCTACTTATTTAAAATGAGCTGAAACAACACTTCTTGAGATTTCATTGAGACAACTTAATTTTTTAAGTTCAATCTACATAAATTTGTTAAAAATGTTAAGTGAACTTAATCGATTTGTGTTGGGACAACATGAATAAATTGTATGGAACCCTGGATTTTTTACGGTGTGTGAATAACATTGACATTTGAAAGACAATTTTGTGCAAACGGAAATATTTAATTAGTGAGTAAATTTTGAAACTATCGATGCCAATGAGAAACTATTATTAAATATTGGGTTCACAAAAAATATTATGTTTTCATAGTTTGGGGAACACTTTAATAATCTAAAGATTATTTTGAGCAATAAAAATGTTTAAGGCGCTAGTTGGAACAATCAATGACACTCAACTATCTTTATTATTAAGAGTAATAACTATGTTTTTAAATGCAAGTATTTCGTGCTTGTTTACGCTGTAAGATGCTGGGTTCCACACAATCGGTTTGTGTTGGGACAATATGAAGGAATTAGGTCAATGTATTAGTTTTTAAGTTGATTGAACATAAAGCAAACAAATTGCCCCCCCCCCCCAAACGTAAGTATAAGAACTGTGTTGTTCTAGTTCATTTTAAATAAGTAGCTTAAACAAACAGCAAATATAATTTTTGAGTGCATGATTGTTTTTAGAACCATTAATACTATTAATGTCAAACAAATTAAGAGTGGTTATAACGAAGTCTGCGTATTTAAATAAAAAACACATGTTGTGAAATAAGGTGGATAGGCATATATATCTAGGCTATCTGTTAATAAAGTAACGAAGTGTCAAAAAACCTCACAGCTTCTATTAACTGTCATAACACAATGTGTACACACGTAATCCGGATATTCTTAAAAGGTGTTAATTCCTTAGTAATCTATAGGTGCCATAAAGCGTTTAATTGGGGGTAATAAGAGGCCTAGCATTGTCTGCAGTGTTTTATATGGGACTATAACAGACTAGGTGTTTCTCTTCACTCATCTCACCTTGTGGTCTCATCCATGGGAAGAGTTGCGCTGTGCACGGTTCTGCACTCTCCAGATCATCCCTGATACCGCTGACCTTTAAATTACAATCCCCAAACTGCGTAAAATCCGAATCTGGCGCGCCAAAGAACGACTGTTTCTGTAAACCGTCCTGGCCCAAGATGTTTCCCGTGGCATCTCCAGGGTACGCAACTGCGCACGGGGTCTGCTGGTAAGACGCGTGGGGGAATGATGATGTACCGTGGTGGTAGAAATCCGGGAACTGAGCCGCGTGCTGAAACGCAGATCCTGTGTTGTGACCGTACAGCACAGATGGTCTGCCTCCAAGATCCGGCGTGTAGCTTGGGCAGTCATAGTAGTTGGAGCGCAGAGAATCGCCTCCTTTAAATTTAGTGAAGAGGGAATTGACGAAGTAGGAACTCATTGCTTGAAAGATCAACTCCCCGGTGAAACTTTGGCAATCAGTGTTGAGATAAAGAAATCTCTAGATAAATTATGTTGCTTGAGGCCTGCTATTGCAATAAAAACGAATTCATCCAGGTGGAAATTATATGCGTAAAATGTCGTAAATATTCATGCAAACAAATGTATCCGTAGCTGCACCCACATGACTCCTTAGTGACGGTCCCCGAGCAATAAATAGTTTTCCTTTTTTACTCATTTCATATGGGCGTCAGTTATCATTGTATCATTGGATGCGCGCACAATCTCCAAACAGACAAAGCGCGATCTTGTGATAGGAAGAGCAGAAGAGACTGAAAAGAGATGAAAAAGGGGAGAGAGGGAGTTCTCGGAGGTAGAGGGGGAGGCGGAGTACGAGTCTTATTGGTAAACCATTTCAGTGCCAATCCAAGAGCACATGCACAAAACCAAATGCTTCTAGTGGGATAACAAAAATTCAGATCAATCACATTATGAAGATTATACCTTACATCTGTCATCACGTTCATATTTATGACTTTATGATTTGGATATTTGTAAGTCAATATATCTACTGTAATATAGACTGCTGCGATTAGTGTAGCTACATCGTGTATGACATGTAATTAAGTAGGCTACAGTACGAGCGAGTGGATTGACGGTGAAAAGGTTTAAATCAGTCAACTCAGAGAAACCTGAGACCACCCGTAAAGTCTGTTTACAGTAGAATATTGCAACACAACTATCTCACATCAGAGAAGAGGTCCGTTTTAATATTTGACTATTTATGTTTCAATTCACACGAATTCCAGTCAGAGGGTGAGTGTTTATAATTAGTTTTTTTTTTTTTTTGCTTTTTTAATTGTATTAGTTTTTTTTAGTAAGTAAGTGTAAATGTAAAGGCTGGAACAGGCGCGTTGTCCTGCCTGCTTTTAGAGTAACACCGCCATCATGTGGTGGACATTGTATGTTCGTTTGGACACATTTAAGCATTTAAAGGACGGCCAAAATTCAGCTCATCTACTGTGTGATAATGCAATAATATTACTGAGCGTGAAGAAGAGCATTCGATAAAAAAACAATAACAAAAAAAACGTTTTTTGTTTGCTTATTAAAAATCGAAAAAACATTTTGAGTTAGGTTTTTTCGGTTTGCACCATGAAAGGGGAACGAAATTCAAGCGTGATTGTCTGTAGAAAATAAAGCAAACACGGTGCTGAACAGCTGCGAGATATTTTCAAAGCACAGTTGCTTTCATTTTCCGCTGTAACTTTATGAGCGGAGAAACAACTAATTCGATTTTACTGCCTTCATTTTATGCACTATTACATCAAGCCACGCGAAATTAAGCGTATGCATAATCTGTCTTACGAAGACAACCCCTGCATTTCTCTTTTAAATGAAGACGTTTTAAGTGGTTTTATTATTGTTTAAAAAATATTATTTAGCCTAATAATAAAATAAATGTAACGAATCTGAAATCTGGACTTTACTAGAACTATGTGAAGCTGCTTTGACGAAATCTACATTGTATAAAGCGCATTAAATAAACATGAATTTAATTGAATTATTAGTCATTTACATTTAAGGTCCTCTTTTGGCAGTATCAGAAAACACTTCTTAATCTGTGGAACTTTCAAGTGAAGCCACATGCATTTAAAAATGAATAAATACATTTTTCATATGTGAAATAATTCTATGACCACACTTACCCCAAACAGGATGAACAAAAAATTATATAATTTTATAATGATAATGATTTCCAGAAATAGTTCAAGAATAAGATTAAGAAAAAAGACGGACATAATGAGTAGCGGGGCGACGCAAGCCATGGATGCGACATTCTTGTAAGTTTCGGCATTCAACACAATCTCACAGCAATTCGTAACTACCAGTGTCCTCTTGCGTGCGAAAATGTATTTATATTTATTATACTGATATTATTGTTGATTTTTTTCAGATAATAACTAACGAAAAACGTTGAAAAAAGGGTTCATTAGACCACTTGAATGGGTGTTGTAACGCTTATTTTACTACAGCCGATAAAACACCTTACCACCTTTGACCCGTCCTTATCAGTAAAAAAAAATATTTATTTAATTTGCTCATTTTTTATCATTTATGACTAAATAAATTCAACATAACTTATGGCTTCATTTTCTAATTTAATGTTTCTTTAAATTCAATATGCCATAAAATGTTTGATAAAATATTTTAGAAATACATGCAGCGGTGGATTAAGTAAAATTTACATGCTGCTGAAACTCCTCATCAGCTAATTTAATTCGTAATTATTTAGTTTGTACAGTCAAAATTCTGGGCTGGGTTGTCCATATCTGACATAAAGACAGACAAATCAAACCATTGGGGTATATTTAAAAAAGAAATTAACACACAACTGTGTCCATATTTTACCATATTTTTATTGAAACAACCCAGCATTTAAACAATGTACAAACTCTGTTTTACAGCACAAATTGCATAGAAATTTCTGTTTCTGAGAATAAATGGGCAATATTGTACCCTGTTTATTTTCATATATGTTCTAAGAAGTCATACTGGCAGGACAAGACCCATCATGAATTGAAATATTTGACCTATTCCTTTAGATCAGCATTCTAATAAACAAAAAACATTCATTAAAATGTTTATTTATACTAATTGGCTTAGAATGACATGAAATAGCTTACAAGACTGTGTTAAACAAAGGATATTCACATTCATTTAATTTAAAATTATGAACTTATGGCTTGTTTTAATCCGATAATACCTACAATTTAAGGTAGCAGCAGGCACCAGCCCTCTGCACTCTTCAAAATAGGCTAAACGACTGACTGCAATTGTAACAAATTACAGGGAAAAAAAGGAAAAATGGCATTCAAATTAAAATTAGTGAAGACAAAAATTTGACATTTTCAGTCTGGAAGACAGGTAGTGAATGCGCACCTTCTCACCTTCAACTCTTCACTCATTACAAAACACCTTCCTTGAGTCTTTATTCGCTTACTGAATGACTTGTGTCATCCCTGGTCAGAGGCTGTGCTCATGTGGAAGGACTCTGCGAGGAGCTTTTCGGAGGTCGTGCGAGAGGTGTGGTCTCGGGACAAGAGGAGCCGGGGTAGAGATGATAAAGAGAGAGTTGGGGTCATGAAAAATGGTGGGACGATGTAGTCGTCCTGGACCAAGAGGAGGCATGGCTAACATTGTGGCTCTTGCTCTCGACTCGGCCAGAGAGGAGCTCAGACTGCCCTGACGCCAAATGAAAGACCCATTGACTGTAAAGCAGAGAGATTGCGAGTAAAGTGTGAGTTTACTCTAAATATTTTACAATAGTATAAGTAAAAGAAAAGTCAATGATAATCACTTGTTAAAGGTATCTGTTGTGCACTAGTGGCCTTAATTAGATTAGCCTGCTCCTCTGCATTTGACGCTACCATCTCTTCCAGTCCATAGTGTTTGAGAGCTGCTGCTTGAGTCTGGACGGGCTGGAGGAGACCGTGTTCTAGAGAGGGCCAGGGTTTTCGGTTTTGCAGTGTTTGGGAATGAACATTCGGCAAACTGGGCCCGTTTCTGGCAAGAATTTGATGTTGCATTGTAGAGTAGATGTTCTTCTGCCTCCACGATATCTCTGCAAGCGTGTCCAACTGGAAAGAGAGTGTATTGAGTAGAATTTACAGATAAAATCTTCAACATTAGTATGAAATGATTTAATTCTAATAGTATTTTATTTTAAGTATATTGCTGAGTTTAAGCAAAACAGAAATTCTTGACCAAAAAACATTGAAGTAAAATGTGGAGGAAAGCACAAAGAATTATTCATTCATTCATTTTCCTTTGGTTATCCAGCATATGTTTTTTTTACGCAGCATATGCCCTTCCAGCCGCAACCCAGTACTGCGAAACACCCATACACTCTCACCCTCATACACTTTGCCCAATTTAGCTTATTCAGTTCACTAATACTTCATGCCGCCAGCACAAAGAATTACTCAAATGAAAATAATTGAAATAAACAAATATATATATGGAAAACTTAATTAAAATAAGAAACTGAAACAAGGTCAAGTGCTAAAACTAAAAGAAAAATATTATAAAGCTAAATATAAATATTTGAAAATAAAGTTCTAAATAAAAAACTTATAAAAAATTATAAATAAGTTGAAAGAAATATCCATGTAGTCACTCACCAAATATTCTGTTTTTGTAACTGTGTCTTATTTTATGGTAAGCTGTCCCTGTACTAGGCGCCTTGACGTTGCGCCTTGACATTCTTGAGCACTGGATAAAATTGTTCTGCTTAACTTAGCTGAATATTTGCAAAACCTACACTAAAATGAAATAAAAAGCAAAATAAAGTTATTTATTGCCTTTTCAACTAAATATAATAAATGTTTAAGCAGTAGCACTCAAACTATTAAAAACTGAAATAAATACAAAGCTAAATACAAATATTTTAAAAAAAGACAAAAAAGCCTATAACTAGCAAATTACTAAACAATGATATTATATATCAATTGTTATTTGTCTGAAAACTGATATATATTTTATAATATATCATAATATAAATATATTATAAAATAAAAAAAATAATATTATAATAATTTCGGTGTGGAGTTTGCATGTTCTCCCCGTGTTGGTGTGGGTTTCCTCTGTGTGCTCCGGTTTCCCCCACAGTCCAAAGACATGTGGTACAGGTGAATTGGGTAAGCTAAATTAGTATGGACCTAATATGCCAAAAAAATTTGAATTTAAATTTATTGTTAAATAGTTGTTTTGAATTTCTTAATTTGAATTTTTATAACTTGAATATTGAACATCTGAAATTTAAGACAACTGAATTGTTCAAGGCTGAATGTTTTATAGACGCATCTTCAAACTTCAGATTTTTGAGTTCTGAAATCCTACTCTGCAGATATTGGGTTTGTAAAAATACAGTTTCAAGTTTTCAAGCTGAAGAAATTCAGAAAAATCAAATTCAAAACCGGAAATTCAGATCGTGAAATTGAGATTTGAACAGGGAAGAGTAGACGGTCACCGAAAACAATGTTATCACAAACTTAGAATCACTTGCCTCTGCTTGATTCATAGTCATGGTCATGTGGGTGTGTGTGTGTGTGTGTGAGGGGGGGGGGGGGGGGGCAGGGGGGGGGTCTTGTATCTACATATATCCTAATGTAAAATTAAACTCATATGTATTTCAGCTTGAAGTAT